GAAAGAGCTGAACAAAAAATTTCAAAGGGCAGCTCTGGGAGATAATATCAAATATTTTAATGAATTGTGCAAAGACCTGGAGTTAGAAAATGAAAAGGTTTTCTTAAGCTGAAAGAACCAAAGAAAAAATGTAAACTTTGACTTCCAATAATGAAGGGTTCTGTGGGCAAAATCTTGAATGATGCAGAAAGCCTCAAAAGAAAATGGAAGAAATACACAGTCACTGTACCAAAAAGACATGGTTGATGTTCAACCATTTCAAGAGGTAGTATCTGATCAAGAGCCAATGGTACTGAAGAAGTCCAAGGTGTGCTAAAGACATTATTGGCAAAGAACAGGCTCCAGGAATTGGTGGAATACAAATTGAAATCTTTCAACAAACCGATGCAGCACATAGGCACTCCATCATCTATGACAAGACATTGGAAAGACAGCTGTCTCACAAACTGATTGGAAGAGATCCAAATTTGTACCTATTTCAAAGAGAGATAACCCAATGGAATGTGGAAATCATCAGACAATATCATTAAGATCACATGCAAGTAAAATTTTGCTTAAAGATAATTAAAAAATGGCTGCAACAGTACATTGGCAGGGAACTGCCAGAGATTCAAGCTGGTTTCAGATAGGGACATGGAACAAGGGATATCATTGTTGATGTCAGATGGATGTTGGCTGAAAGTACAAAATTCCAGAAAGATGTTTACCTGTGCTTTATTAACTGTGAAAAGGCCTTCAACTGTGTGGATCATGACAAGCTATGGAAACCTTGTTGGGGAGAAATGTTTCAGAACACTTAATTGTGCTTTTGAGGTACCTGTACATAGACCAAGCGGTGGTTGTTTGAACAGAACAAGGGGACACTGAATTGTTTAAAATGAGGAAAGACGACAAGAAAGAAGTATTGTTTCTACCATAGGTATTCAATTTTTAGGTTAAGCAAATAATCTAAGAAGCTGGATTATAGGAAGAAGAATCTGGCATCAGAATTGGAGGAAAGTTCGTTAACAAACTGCAAAATATAGATAATATAGCTTAGCTCGCTGAAAGTGAAGAGGACTGAAAATACTTACCGATGAAGATCAAAGACCACAGCCTTCAGTATGGGTTGGACCTCAACGTAAAGAAAACAAATCTTCACCACTGGACTGATAAACAGCATCATGATAGATGGAGAAAATACTGAAGTTGTCAAAGACTTCGTTTTGCTTGGATCCACTATCAACACTCATGGAAGAAGTAGTCAAGAGATCATGACATATGGCATTAGGCACATTTGCTACACAAGACTTCTTTAAAGTGTTCAAGAACAAAGATGTCACTTTGAGGACTAAAGTGCCCCTGACCCAAGCCATGGTATTTTCAATAGCTTCATAAGCATGTGAAAGTTGTACAGATAATTAGGAAGACTGTAGAAAAATTGATGCATTTGAGTTATGGTGTTAGAGAAGACTATTTTAAAGTACGATGCCTGTTAAAAGAACAAATAAATCTGTGTTGGAAGAAGTACAGCCAGAATGCTCCTTAAAAGTCAGGATGGACAGACTTTGTGTCTCATATTTAGGAGGGACCAATCCCTGGAGAAGGACATCACACTAAGTACAATGTTGGGTCAGTGAAAAAGAGGAAGACCCTAAGGAGATAGATTGGCACAGTGGGGATCAAGCTTAATAACAGTTATGGGGATGGCAGAGGACCAGGCTGGACCAATTCAGCAGCACCTAACAGCAACAACGTAGGTTTTCTGAGCAGTGTTTTGTTGTGTTGTGTATAATGTCCCTATGAGCTGGCCCAGTTCAACACAACAGCACCTAACAGCAACAACGTAGGTTTTCTGGGTAGCGCCTGGGAGGTTTTAACCACCAATATTGTGGTTAGCAGGCCAGTGTTTATCCTGTAGCACCACACCAAGATTTTATATATGTCCAAAAAAACATTTCTCCGAAATTCAAGTGACCACCAAACCCATGAAAAGGAGCTCAATGTGATTATCAGAGAGAAACAAATTAAAACAAAAACCATGTATCATTTCACTCCCACTAGATGGCCTAAGGGCTCCTGGTGTGGCGCTGTTAGATAAGCACTGGACTGCTAACTGCAAGGTTCAAAATAGTTCAAACCCACCAGCCGCTCCTCCGAAATCCTATACAGGGGCGCTATGAGTCAGAACTTAACAACAAACACATCGGTACCCACTCAATGTCTGTGGCACTGTAGGATAATGCTGCTCTGGGCCGCAAGTCAGTTTGAATAGCAAGGTCCACAGTTCAAATCCACCAGCTACTCCCTGGAAACCTTATGGTGTCGTTGTTAAGTTCTGTCCATCAGTTCTCACTCATAGCAACCCCGTATAGGGTTTCTGAGGAGCAGCTGGTCAGCTTGAACCCCCAACAATATGATTTAAATCGACCTTGCTGTCCAGCAACCCTGTAGGACTTTACTCTCCAGAAACCTTATACAGAGTCGTTGTGAGTCAGAACTGACTTGACAACCCCTTAACAACAAACCACAAGGAATCAGAATTGACTCAATGACACTGACAGCAACAGTAAGGATGCCTTTTCAAAAGAGAAAAAACAGAAAACAACTAATGTTGGCGAGAATGTGGGGAAATTGGAACCTGTCTCCATTGTAGGTGTGAACTCAAAATGGCGTCGTCATGGTGGAAAGAAAGCAGTGAGGTGGTACTTCAGGAAAGTAAAAAGAGAATTACCAGAGAACCTAGTCAGTGCACTGCTAGGGAAATATTCACGGGACTTGAAAGCAGCCTCATGAGTGGACATGTGCACACCAGTGTTCACTGCAGCACAATTCCCAGTAGCCAGGCAGTGGAAACAACCTAAATGTCCATCCAGATAAATGTGTAAACAAAATGTGGTCCATGCATACCGGGAACACTACTCCGCTGTAAAAAGAAATGTAAACCAGATACATGCTAGAACCTAAGCGGAGTTGGAGAAGCTCTGCTGAGTGATATAAATCAACCCCAAGGTTCTTTTGACATATGAACCTCACTTATGTAAAAAGATAAGCAAATGTATGGAAACCATAAGTTTTTATCAGTAGTTATCTGGCTGCACTTGTTGAATGTCATAAAGTTGATTCAGACTCCCGAGCAACCCCATATCAGGTTTCTGAGGAGTGGCTGGTGGGTTTGAACTAATGACCTTGTGGTTAGTAGTCCAGTGCTTATCTAAAGCACCCCACCAGTTTCTGGAGGTTAGGAGAAGTGGGGATTTATTTCACAGGGAGCACTGAGCTTCTGTTTATGGTGTTGGGAAATTCACATTGAATAAAGGTTAAGGGTTGTTGTTGTTGTTGTTGTTATGTTCCGTGGAGTCTGTTCCGACTCATAGTGACCCTGTACAGGGTTTCCAAGGCTGTAAATCTTTATGGGAGCAAAAAGCCTCATCTGTCTCCCTCATCTTTTCTCTCCAGCTGGTAGTTTCAAACTGCTGACCTTGCGGTTCGCAGCCCAATTCGTAACCACTACACTACCAGAGCTCCTTAAGGATTATGTAGCCAATTAATGCAATTGCTGTGAATAGCTGTCCAGCTGTCAGGAGCTGGATTGGTAGGAGCTGTGTGGTGGATAGGTGTACACTAATTACAAAATAGAGCAGGTGTTGAGGCTGCTGATAGGTAACCAAACACTTGGTTTGGAAGTTGAGGATAACAGTTTAATGGAACAACCAGTTAATTGGCCCAATATTGTGTAAAGTGTTTTTGTATTACCTCCAAGTTCATTGTGTATTCCTGTTGTGAAGTGCCCTCGGGTCGGTTCTGACCCATAGCAACCCTGAATAGGGTTTCCAAGGAGTGGCTGGTGAGGTTGAACCACTGACCTTGCGGTTCAAATAGGCTTTGCAGTCCATTGCATTAACCCACAGCGCCACCCCAGGACTCTTAAGTTCATTGTGTAGCACCTGAGTATTAAGTGTTTGCAAGTGTCCATCTCAAGTACAGCAATGTGTCTCTCACCACCTGGAGCAACACAGAAAGGAGGGGAGTTGGAAAAGGGGGAGGAAATGGATTGTGTGGCTAATTCCCTCCAAGAACAACTATCTCCTTTCCTGTGAGACAAAAACAACACGATAATAATTATTTTTTTTAATTTAAAAAAACAAAACCATGCACGGTCCTGTCGAAGAGCACAATAACTGGGTGACATCAGATAAGGTGGGGTTGATTGGCAGTTTAGACAGTTATGTGAAGATAGGATAGTACTCGACGAAGGTATGTATGATGAAGTTCTTATTGATGCAAAATCCTCGAGTACTTTTGCGCTGGTTTACATCCCGGGTTGTAGGTTTGCATGCAAGGGAGACTGAGAGTCCCAGAAGATGAGTTTAGGAGAGTTTGTAAAGTTAAATCAGATTTTTTTTTTTTTTTTTTTCAAATGTCAGTCTGAAAAGCCATTTACTTGATTATCTACAGAGCTGTTTCCTTAACTATTGCATTTGTGACTGTATCCCTTATATTATAAACACAGCTTCCATTCATTTCATATTCAATGCAGGAGCTTGTTTATCCCTAAACAAAAATCAATTAAATGGTTGTATTTCCCCAGAAGAAACGTCTTGACTGTTGAATTCTAGTCAACAAGTAGATACCATCTGATTGTAATAAAATAAACTAAGCCCAATGAAATGAAGAACCAAAACATATTCAATTCAATTTAGTTGATGCTCTTGTGATGACTTTTAACAACATAACATAGAGATTTCTCTGCTCACTTAGGACAATTCGTATTTAGAAGGCACATCTCCATATGTATATAGCTTATTCCCATTTTCACTTAGGTTGACTTTTGTTCGAAAGAACTGTGCTATAGATCAGAAAATCAATATTTCCCTCTGCTCTTAGTAGCCACATTTTCATCACTCACAATAGCTAACATTCATTTAAGAAAAGCTTATATGGATGCAATGCCTTAATGATTGGATTCCAGTTTAGATGTTTAGATAACTCACTTGTTTTATTTATGGCATTCATTCTAGCGCTTTGGAGTCTGTGATTCGCCAATGGAATGAATATCTAGAGAGGAAAGACCAGTTGGAGCAGTGGATGGAATCAGTGGATCAAAAAGTTGAGCATCCTTTACAGCTGCAGCCAGGTCTGAAGGAGAAGTTTGCCCTGCTGGACCACTTCCAGTCCATTGTGTCTGAGGCAGAAGATCATGCTGGAGCCTTGCATCACCTAAGTGCCAAATCCAGAGAGCTCTATGAGAAGACTGAGGATGTGTTTTTCAAGGAAACAGCTCAGCAGGAACTGAAAACACAGTTTAATGATATAATAACAGTTGCTAAGGTTAGTGCCTTTTACTGAATAAAAAATTTCAAACCTCAGGTAATGAATGAATGATGAGTTGAATTGTTGGGAAATTCGTTACTCTAAAGCTGTGTGTACATTTCATGAAAGGATATACAGAGATCACTTTTCACCTATGAATGTTCAAACATTTTACACTTTCTCTCTTGGGATTGTTCTTTACGTTATTATTTTCTGTCTTCCTCCCTGGTGACTAGTAGCCAATCCATTTTCGTTCTTGGTAAAGCTTGTGCAGTAAATAGCAGCATTTAGAGTTCTTTGTCTTTTGCTGCCAATTGTAGCAGTGGCAAAGAGTTTGTGCAAAGTAGAATTAAAAGAGCTTTTTGAAGCACCTTCATATTTGTTACATTAAATGCAAGTCTATGTCCTATTCAGTGACAGAAGAGACACTGAAGCTTGTTCTCTAGCATGGAGATGCTAAAGCAAATGAAAGAAATGAGGAGGTACAAGAGTTGAACAGAAAATTTCAAAGACCCGCTAGAAAAGATAAAGTCAAATACTACAACAAAATGTGCAAAGATTTAGAATCAGAAAACCAAAAAGGAGGAACACGCTCAGCATTTCTCAAGCTGGGGGAACTGAAGAAAAAATTCAACCCTTGACTTTCGTTATTGGAGGAATCTCTGGGCAAATTATTGAATGATGCAGAAAGCATCAAGAGAAGATGGAAGGAATACACAGAGTCACTGTAACAAAAGGAAATGGTTGATGTTCAACAGTTTCAAGAGGTACCATGTGATCAAGAGCCAATGACACTGAAGGAAGAAGTCCAAGGTGCATTGACAGAATTGGCAAAGAACAAGGCACCAGGAATTGATGGAATAAAAATTGAAATCGTTCAAGAAAGAGAGGAGGCAGAGGAGATACTCACTCATTTCTGCCAAGAAATTTGGAAGATAACTATCTGGCCGACTGATTGGCAAAGATCCATTAACCCAACAGAATGCGGAAATTATCGGACAATCTCTTTGACATCCCAAGCTTTACTAGAAGTAACACAGAAATGGCTACAATCATACAATGACAGAGAACTTCCAGAGGGTCAAGCCAGATTCAGAAGAGGCCATGGAACAAGGGATATCATTGCTGATGTCCAATGGATCTTGGCTGAAAGCAGAGGATATCAGAAAGATGTTTACCTGTGCTTTATTGACTACACAAAGGCTTTTGATTGTGTGGATCATGACAAGCTATGGATAACATTGTGAAGTTTGGGTATTCTGGAACACTTAATTGTGCTCATTAGGAATCTGTACCTGGACCAAGAGGCAGTTGTTCGAACAGAACATGGGAACACTGCATGGTTTAAAATTAAGAAAGGTATGTGACAGGGTTATATTCTTTCACCATATTTACTCAACCTGTATGCTGAGAAAATAATCTGAGAAGCAGCAGTCAAGAAATCAAACAACATATTGCATTAGGTAAATCTGCTACACAAGACCTTTTTAAAGTGTTGAAGAGCTTGAGGACTAAGGTGTGCCTGATCCAAGTGATGTCAACTTGAGGACTAAGGTGTGCCTGATCCAAGTGATGGTATTTTCAATAACCTCATATGTATGATAAACCTGGACAGTGAATAAGGAAGAGTGTAGAAGAATTGATGCCTTTGATTTATGGTGTTGGAGGAGAATATTGTAAGTGCCATGGGCTGCCAAAATAACCAATAGATCTATTTTGGAAGAAGTGCGGCCAAAGTGCTCCTTGGAGGCCAGGATGGCCAAACTTCATCTCTCATACTTTGGACATATTGTCAGGAGGGACCAGTCACTGGAGAAGGATATCATGTTTGGTAAGGTGGAGGGTCTGAGGAAAAGAGGAAGACCCCAGAGAGATGGATTGACCAAGTGGCAACATCGATGGACTCAAGTGTGTCAACACTGCTGAGGTTGGCCCAGGATCGGGCAGTGTTTTGTTATGCTGTGCGTAAGGTCGCTATGAGTCAGTACCAACTCGATGGCACCTAACAACAACAACAGTGTACTATTCAGATTTTGATTATGTGCAAAAGTTTTGTGTTATTTTTCACAGTCATAAAAACTGCACTTTCCTATCTCTGAAATGTAGCTGCTGTTCAGTGTTCACCAACAGGTTCTGGACCATGCTCATGGTCCACTCTGAGTCAGGCCAACATACAGACTGCCTCATAAAATAGCAAGATTTCTCCCACTTCTCTATCTGAATCTGTACTCTCTTCTGTGATCGCATTGTTATTGTTGTACATTATTTAACAGTGTTAAAGAAAATAGGTGAATGTCCTTTGATTTTTTTCCCCTTTAGTTGGTCTTTTGCACAATCACAATTATTAGAAACCTAGTGGAGTCAGAACTGACTCTATACTGTCCTAAGAGCAGTTGTATACTGTCCTAAGGGGTCACTGTGAGTTGGAATGGACTCTACACCAGTGGGTTTGTTTTACTGACATTATAACTGTTAGCATCTACATTTGTTCATATTCATTTTTATCTCGGTGCTCATTAAGAACTATGAATCAGGAATCAAAAAGACTGAAATTTGAATTCTGGCTTTGCCACTTCTACGACGTGTGGCTTTGGGCGTATTACTTAGCTGTTATAAATTTGAACATCTTTTCTTGTAAAATGATGCAATCATACTATTTACATGACAAGGCTGTTGTGAAGGTTAAATGAGCAAATGCATCTCAAATGCTGAGCAGGATGCCTTATACAAAGCCAACGCAGTTCATTGCCCTGATGGAGGTGGTGCTGACGGTGAGCAGTGAAGTCGGTTCTGACACATACCTGTAGAGGGTTTCCGAGGTTGGAAATCTTTACGGGAGTAGAATGCCACATGTTTCTCCTGTGGAATGGCTGGCAGTTTCGAACTGCTGATTGTGAGATTAGCAGCCTGACTTGTAACCACTACACTACCAGTATTCCGTATTGTTCTGATGGTGACGGTGGTGTGACATGGAGTCGGTTCCGATTCATAGAGAACTTGCATAGGGTTTCCGAGGCTGTAAATCTTTACAGGAGCAGAATGCCTCATCTTTCTCCCACTAAACCACTGACAGTTTCAAACTGCTGACCTTGAGGTTAGCAGGCCTACTCATAACCACTACGCTACCAGAACTCCTTTAGTGTTCTGATAGTAATACTAATTATTATAATAATTAGTATTAAATTGGTTGCTTGTGTGAGATGTTAGCCAATATATTCATTAAGCATATATATTTTATGCTAAAACAAGCTGGGAAGAATGGTTGCTTTCTCAAAGTCCATCAGTCCAATAAAGACTTGATATTTTCTTCTTCAAACATTAAACATAAAGACCATTCAGGATGAAATCTTCTGAGACATACGCGCATCAGGCCATGGTCTTATCTGATTTCATATTCTCAATAACTGACTATTCTGAAAGCAGCTTTTCTTTTTCTGATTTACTAGGAAAAAATGAGGAAAGTGGAAGAGATTGTGAAAGACCATCTAATGTACTTGGATGCGGTCCAGGAATTTACAGATTGGCTTCATTCAGCTGAAGAAGAGCTTCACCGGTGGTCAGATATGTCTGGAGATTCATCAGCTACCCAGAAAAAATTGTCCAAAATTAAGGTCAGATTTTGTTTCATTGGTTTCTGATTGTCCCATACCTGGTATAAAGAGTCCGTAAATGAAAATCTGTCGTATGCACTGTTTCCTTTCTTGGTTGGCTGGTCTTTGTTACCCGACACCTAATTTGAAACCTAAGCCAGATAAAAAAGGAATTCAAAACATACTGCACTTGTGAACCAAATGTAACATTGTCCCTGTCTGCATCTGTACGTTGTCGTTGTGTGCCTGGGAGTTTATTTCTGACTCCTCGTGATCCTCTGAGGCAGATTGGAGATGCCCCTTAGGATTTTCGTGGCTCCTTGGAAACCCTATACAGGGTCGCTTTGAGTTGGAACCAACCTGATGGCACTTCACAACAACAACAACTCTTAACATAAACAGTCTGTCAGGTGGAGCCAGGATGGGTTCTAATGCCCAACCTTTCCACTGGTGCTTAGCCATCATCCCATTAGGGTTCCTTAAGTATGTAAATGTTCTTGTTGCTGCAGTATGAAAGACTAAGAAGTTACACACCAGCTTGGTGGACTGAAAAATCAGGTGGTACTCCCAGCCCAATGGGTAAAGTAACTGAGTTAAGTGCCTTAGAACCAGAACTTGGAAATGAAATCCAAGAGGTTGGGTTCTGCTTTCTTAGACTCTAACACTACCTAGTGGAAGACAGTCCTTTGAAGAATCTCATATTACTGCATGAATAAGGGTAATTGGAAACCTAGAAATCTAAGCCTTCTGAGGCAGCCGCAGATCTTTATGATCTTTTAGTTTATTGTTGGTTGTTTGGATATTAAATTGTACTCATGTTTCCCGTTGTGGAAAATAATGGAAGTTAGTATAAATTAATGTAAATTCTCAGTGATTTTATTTTGTTGTTGTTGTTGTTAAGTGCCATCGAGTCGGGTCCGACCCATAGCGACCCTGTACAGGGTTTCCGAGGGTGTAAATCTTTACGGGAGTAGAAAGCCTCATCTTTCTCCCGCGGAGCGGCTGGTAGTTTCGAACTGCTGACCTTAAGGTTCGCAGCCCGATTCGTAACCACTACGCTACCAGATGAGGTCATTTAGGAAATCAAGTAAAGTAATTGTGCCTGGCTCCAGATTGTGTTCGGATCATTTGTGATCAGGATGTAAAAATTATAAACATAAAATAGTAGCAGTCGTAATTATATTTATTGAGGATTTACAGAGTATATTAAACTCTGTAGGATTTAAATGAGGTAATTTACATAAAGCCAAGTTGTAAGTTCTTATTAGTTCTGATTATTTATAATTCCTCTTTGATTAATTTATTAGTAATATGCAAATGTAGTCACTTATCTATCCATCTATTTAGCCAGGGCTCTTTATCCCTAAATGAACTAGCAAGGAACCCTTGTTTTTGTTGTTATTAAGTACCATCAAGTCAGTTCCAATTCATAGCGACCCTGTATAGGGTTTCCAAGGAGTGACTTGTGGGTTTGAACTGCTGACCTGTGATTAGCAGTCCAGTGCTATCATACAGCACCACACAAGGAGTCCACAAGGAACCCTGGTGGCTGTTAACTGAAAGGTCTGCAGTTTGAATCTACCAGCCTCTCAGCGGGAGAATGATACAACAGTCTTTTTCTGTAAGAATTACAGAACCCAGACACCAAATTCAGAAAGACCCAGAGCTGTATTTATGGTCCAGTGGGTTAATCGTTGGGCTGCTAACTACTACAAGTTGGTGGTTCAAACACACCAGTTGCTCTGTAGGAGAAAGTTGAGTCGGTCTACTCCTCTAAAAATTTACAGTCTTGGAAACCCAAGGAGCAGTTCTAACCTGTCCGGTAGGGTGACTGTGAGGTGGAACCTACTCCATGGCAGTGAGTTCTGCTCATCCTTTAGCTGTGCCTTTGGAAGGTCACTTGATATCTTAAAGACTAAACCTTTTCATTTGTAAAGTAAAAATAATCACAGCATTACCTATCTCATGAAGGAGCTCTGGTAGCGTAGTGGTTACAAATCGGGCTGTGAACCGCAAGGTCAGCAGTTTGAAACTACCAGCTGCTCCACGGGAGAAAGATGAGGCGTTCTGCTCCCGTAAAGATTTACAGCCTCAGAAACCCTATTCAGGGTCGCTATGGGTTGAAACCGACTCAATGGCACTTAACAACAACAACAACACCTATCTCATAGGGTTGTTCTAGAGGCTAAAATACATCATGAGTATAAGGTGTTTAGCTTATGTCTGGTGCATAGAACACCCTCCCCAAGATAACTCAATGTACTTGGTGAATGAGTAACTTAATTGGCTCTATCTGGGTGACAGTGTGGACCAGTCAAGGTGCCCATCAAGTCTTTACAGAGTCAGTAATGACTCTATGTCAGTAATGACACCTATGACAGATAAGTACCTGCAGAGGAGCCGGTGCAGAGAGATGGGAAGATGAGGAGTTCATACGTGAGCAGGTAGAATTTCAACTACCTTGTGGTAATGGCTAACAGGTAATTGAATGTCCAAAGCCTGAATTTCATGTTAGAAAACCAGATTGAAGACACAGAGATGCAAATGATCAACATATAATGTTTAGTTGAAGCCACTGGAATGGATGAAACCAACACTTATACGTAAAGCAAACAGAACAACGGGTACAGGACTGAAAGCTGGATGCTGCTGCTGATGTTGAAAGGCCACAGAAGATAATATTGTTAGAAAGAGAGAAAGCACAGGCGAGATGGGAAGATGTGGAGGGGTAATGGCACCAAGACCCAGTGTGGAGCAGAGAAGGTGGCCACCATTCCAGCCCCAGGAGGAGGCTGCCATGGAGAAGCATTAAAGATTGCCCACTGGTCTTGCCGGTTGGACTGTTGCCCATCACCCTGAGAACTGTTTCCACAGCAAGGTGAGGTGAGAAGCCAGGTGGCACATCTTTAAGAGTGAATGGCAGGTGAGGAAGAGTAGATAGCCAATGTAGACTATTGTCTGAATAGCTGATAGACAAGGAAGGTAATTATTTTACAAGGGCTCTCTCCTTTGCCAAACATTCTTTGTTGAGACATTTCTTATAAAAATGCTTCAACAAAGATGGGAACTATGAGAAGGAGCTGGCAGGAAAAAATTGGAATTTGGGAAGGAGACAGTGAAAGGCCTGGTGAAGGCTGTTTTTTCAAAAGTTCAGATCAGGTCTGAATGTAGGTCGGTTTGTGGGAGAGGCAAGATGTGAAGGGAGAAAAGAAGAACTTTCCCTGTGCTTCAAGACAATCATTGTTGTTGTTAAGTGCTGTGGAGTCGCTTCTGACTCTTAGTGATCCTGTATAGAGTTTCTGAGGAGCAGCTGGTGAGTCTAAACTGCCAACCTTGAAGTTCAAACCGACTTTACAGTCCGGTGCTTATCCTACAGTACCACACCAGGATTCCTCAAGACCTCAATCTCTGAAGTAACAATCACTGAGACAGTTGCTGTGGAGGGTAGGTGCCGTCTAGTTGGTATTGACTCATAGTGACACTGTAGAAAGCAACAGAAAACACTGCCTGCCCAGTCCAATACCATCCTCACGATGATATTTCTTGTGTTAGCTCCCTTTGTTGTAGCCACTGTATCAGTCCATCTTGTGGAGACTCTTCTTTTTAGCTCACCCGCCACTTTACCAAGTATGGTGTTCTTCTCCAGGCATTGGGCCCTCCTGATAACATTTACAAAGTTCAGAAGACGAAGTGTCATTCCCTTTTCCTATAAGGAGCATTCTTGCTGTGTTTATTCCAAGACAGATTGGTTCATTCTTTTGATTGTTGTTGTTGTTGTTAAGTGCCGTAGAGTCAGCTCCGACCCATAGCGACCCTGTATAGGGTTTCCGAGGAGCAGCTGGTGAGCTTGAACCGCCAACCTTGCAGTTCAAACGGCTTTGGAGTCTGGCGCATTAACCCACAGCACCACCCCAGGACTTTAGTCCGTGGTATATTCAGTTTTCTTCACTAAAACCTTAGTTCAAATGCATCAGTTCTTTTCTGGTCTTTTGTATTTTACATGCATATAAGCTGATTGAAAACACCATGGCTTGGGTCAGGGCACCTTAGTCCTTAAAGGGACATTTTTGCTATTTAATACTATTTAAGAAAGTTGAAAACTACACTGATGAGAAAAAGGCTAGAAGAGTTGCACTGAGTTTTTTATTTATTTATTTTTTTGTTTTTTACCATCATGACAATGCACCTGCTTATTCTTTCAAAGTAACAAAAAATCGTATGAGAATTTCTTTGGTAAATCTTACCCCATTCTTTAGTTCTCATCATGCCTCTTCAGATTTCTTTTTGTTAACCCAAACCCAAAGAACATTTAAAAGGAATCCAACTTTAGTTCCTGAGGGATGTCAAAACTCCTGTTTTGATAAGTTGTAAAAGGACCTCTGGTAGCGTAGTGGTTATGAATCGGGCTGCGAACCGCAAGGTCAGCAGTTCAAAACTACCAGCTGCTCCGCGGGATAAATATGAGGCTTAAAAAGATTTACAGCCTTGGAAACCCTGTTCAGGGTCGCTATGAATCAGAACTGACTCCATAGCACATAACAACAACAACAAATTGAGCACAGAATTTTTCAGGGAAAGGTCAGAAAAATGGAAACACTGCTTTTAGAAATACTCAGAAATACTAAGAGCTAGATGGAAGGCATGCTGAGAAACAATAGCTTTACCTTTTGATTTTTTTTGTTTAATAAACTCTATGATTTTGTAGTAGTCATTTTTTAATAATCCTCATACATATCTGTGTGTATATTTTTGGAAGATTTTAAATACTGGATAATAAAATATATGCAGAAGTCAGTTAAAAACACTTTAAAATGATAATGTCCTTATTTAAAATACTGAAACTTTCATGTGGATGAAAACTGGAATCACGTATTTAAGAGTATTTTGAAATTTAATGATAAGCACTGGACTTCGAGCCACAAGGTCCCAGTTCAAGCCCACCAGCCACCCCGAGGGAGAAAACTGAGGCTTTCTGCTGCCACAAAGATTTAAAAGCCTCAGAAAACTTAAAGAGATCACTATGAATTGGAATCGACTCGATGGCATTTAACAACAACTCTCTAAACAAATTTGAAATCATTCATAAAAGCAAATTATAAATAGTTAATGTGACAGTTTCTTTGAAAATTTTTGTCATTTTACTCCATCAAATTGCTAATGATCATTTACACGGGTAAACAAATGAAGGCTTCCTTTCCTGTTGTTGTGTGTTTATTAAGTGCTGACTATGTTAGGATTTCATATAAGTGTGCTTTGGACTTTCATATGAGAGGTTTAAAAAGTTCATGGGACAATTCCATTATCTTTGTGTTTCATTTTTCCATGAACTATTGAAGCCCCCTCGGATAGGTAAATACTTTTCAATGAGCTATACTAAAATATGTCTGCATTCTATATAATTGCAAGAAGATATATTTCTTTTAAGCTGATTCAATGAAAGACTATAATTATATTGCTGGTTAAGATACTTTTATATTGACTAGTTAACATAATGTGTGCTTAACATAATGTGTTAAGCATGTTTCATACTTAAGATCTCGACTTTTTCTTTTTAAATTTTAGTTAACTTTTTGCTTGAAACTGTGTCTCCGTAACAATCATTTTTCCTTTTATTTAATCTAGGAATGAAGTCCTAATTTTTGGTTAATGTTAACATAATCCTGACTTTAGCAAAAGATCTGTAGATACATAAGCACACAGTGATACATCCAGTGAGAGAAAATCCAATAAGAAAATCTCAGAAAGAAATGCCACTGATACCTATTTGACAGAATTTCAATTTTCTCTTGCTTTCCTTTAGAGCATTTGTATGCTTTCAGACTAGAAGTTACGAGTTATATTATTACATTACTGGCAATGAATTTTTTTAAAATAACCCTAATAGTAAGTATAGTCTAAAGGCCACTTTGGCATTTTGATTGCCTATCTTTGAAGTTTTTAGTGACTATCATAATTTTACTGAAGGTTCTGAAGAATTTGAAAGTGTATGATTAGGGCTCATTTTTAGCCTGTTGGTTTCACCGATGGGTGACCTTGAATAGAAGAGTAATGTAAGCCTTCACTTTATGGAAGAAAACGAAAATGGTTCTCCTCTGCTTATTCAGTTCTCCTGCAATTTAGATGGACTATGTGGATTTGCTTCTTTGCAGAGCCAAAACACATGGACAAGCCTTTAAAGCCCTACTGAAGCATTTGCACATAATCGGTGCCTAACTGAGGGTCCCATTTATTGTGTATCTGATGTGGTGGGTCTCCTGGGTTAGGCTATCACAGCTGTCCCTCTCACGCTGACAATTCCCTGCTGTTATGACTTGGTGGTGGGCAGATGAGTAGGTTCTGGTTCCTCTGGTGCTGTTGTGAAAACTTCCTAGCAGGACAGGGTCCTCGTCTGTACACATTTGGAATTTTGCAGCCCAAGTGACTCACAGGCCTCTTGGTTACCATGGTGATATTCCATTGCAGGAGTTGATAGATTCCAGAGAGATTGGTGCAGGCCGCCTGAGCAGAGTGGAGTCGCTGGCTCCGGCTGTAAAACAAGACACAAGTGCCAGGGGGTGTGAGCTCATGGACGCGGAGATGCAGGCCCTGCAGGCCGACTGGAAGCAGTGGGAAGACGGTGTATTCCAGACCAGGAGCAGCCTGGAGAACCTGGCCAGCCAGATGGCCCTGTCCGAGCAGGAGTTCACAGGCCAAGTGGCCCAGCTTGGAGAGGCCCTGGAGCAATTTGGTATCCTTCTCAAGACCTGGTCTCAGGAGTTAGCCCTGCTGGAAGACAAGAACACAGATACAGAGCTCGTGGCCTGTTGGCACAAAGGAAAAGTAAGTTGCCTTCCTGTTTTCCATTGGAGGGGATGCTAAAATTTTTCTAAAAAAAATGATTTGATCTCATTGTTGATGAAAAAGAAAAGACAAATTCCTGACTAACTAAAACCATGTACTTGTTCAGACTTGGCAGACGTAAGTATTTGTCTAATTAAATTTGCAAAGTCTGATCCATTTCCTTTTCTTATAAATCAGACTTTTCGGGGGGTAAAAAATGATGGGACAGGGAAGAAGGAGTGATTATTCACCCAGGAAAGAAGTACCGTTAGCGGAGAAGTTTTAACTCTCCTGCTAATGGGGTAAGAGGCTGCAATATTGAACTCCATTGCAGACTGAAACATGGCCTGCGGGCAGAGACATAAATAGCCAGCAAGTCATAGCTCAGTCTTGGCCAGTTAACTATTTCCAGCTCTAAAATGATTGAATTTATGGCTTTGAAAGGCATGTTTGCCAATCTTCTGTAGTACAACTAATCGTTTTCAACTAGTGGTTTTGTTTTCCTGAGTGTGAATTTGACAGCTGAACTTGAATTATCCCATTTACAGAACTCCTACATCACGCTCACTGGTAGCCTTCCCATTTTTTTGTTTTGTTTTTTTTTCCCACCACTAATGGCAGTTCTTTCAGAATGTAAGAAAGAGAAGCCTGAAAGGGTGGAAACCTCAGTTCCTCTGTCTTTTCTCTTACAGTTAAGTAACATCTTTGAAAGCCATTTTTAATATTTACAGTTTTAGAATGTGCTGAATCACGGATGTCCTTTAAAGGAAGTTTAGTAAACTTGTCTGTTTCTATTTATGTTATATTCATTTCAAAATAGCGCCAGCTTTCGCCACTGAGAAAGTCATATCGTATACGCAGCAATGTCTCGTCTCGTTTTAAATGACGTACTAGAGCAAATACAGTACCCACATGATATTATTATATAGTCATCTTTGTTTGCTATTTTATGTATCATGTTTCTAGATTTTTCTTCTAATGTCTCTTCTAGCCTTTAGGTTTCAAGTTCCAGAATAAAGTAGAACTCAGTTCTGTAAAACAGGGGCAAGGAAGTTGGTAATTGTTCAGTGTGGTTAGTGTTATTCACTCTGAGATTTTAAAAAAAAAAAGTTATACTTTTAGTTTCTTTTTGTTTCTCTTCCTATAATGAGAAAAATAAAATTATAAGAATTATTTGGGTATATCTATATTCTGTTGCTCTTCTGAACTGTTGGTTTTTAGGTTGTTAGTATTAGTGAAAATCACTGGGGAGGCTTACACAAAAATACACGGCAACGCAATAATACATATGGACCTCTATTTGAATGAAGGACTCAAAGCAGAGAGCCCACCACTTAGGGCCCAATGTTTTGACTTCAGGGCCCAGGCTTTTGAATTTAGATTTTTCTCTTATTTCTAGTGATAACAGTTTTCTAAATATGGGGGTAATACTTCAATTACAATGAATGTGTAGGAAAATGTTTACAAGGTAACAGATTTACTAGTGTTCTTCGAAGCATTGGTTTACTATTAGGGAGGCTTTACCATCATCGTCACCATAGCAGACCTTTACAAACCTTTATGTTTAGATCTTTTGTAGCTAATTAGTAGTTCTCAAGGAATCCAGACAAACTTGATGGATGATTTTCCATAAACTATGCAAAATCATGTTGTAAAACCTTTTGCTCCTTGTGTTGGCGATATTAATTTTTCTTAATAAACATTGGGCTATTAGTATTGGAAATACAGCACTTTTCTTAATCCGTCTAACCTCTAAGGAAAGCAAAACGCATTCTAGGATTTAGCTGAAATAGACATATTGGCCCGATGTTCATGTAACAAACCATTCCACTGAAATGCTTTCATTTATGATGAAGACGTGGCTTTTTAAAAAATGTTTTGATCAAGAGCTTTTCATTTTTTATTTCACTCAATTTGTATGTAACTGATTAAAATCTTTCTCTTTATATAATTTTTTTTTGCATGTAGTAATTTTCTTTAGTTCTTGTAATGGTGTTCCTTAAATTAGATTCATTGGTTGCTACTTCAGTGTTTAAAGAGCCCTAGTGGCACTGTAGGTAATCATTGGGATTCTAACTACAAGGTCAGTGATTCAAACCCACCAGCTACTCTTTGGGAGAAAAATGAGGCTGTTTCCGTAAAGATGTAGTTTTGGAACCCTTATATAGGCTCTTTGTGAGTAGAGATCAACTTGATGACACTGAGTTAGGTTTTGGTTTGGTAATTTAGTGTTTGAAGGTTCACAGGGAAATATTTTAGCCATTGTTGTTGTTGTTAAGTGCCTTTGAGTCGCTTCCGACCCATAGCGACCCTGTACAGGGTTTCCGAGGGTGTAAATCCTTACGGGAGTAGAAGGCCTCATCTTTCTCCCGCGGAGCGACTGGTAGTTTCGAACCGCTGACCTTATGGTTCGCAGCCCGATTCGTAACCACTACGCTATTTTAGCCATTAGATATTATTATTTGAAGTTTTTGTTGTAAATTGAATGATCGTTTACAGAGAACATCAGTTTTACATTCATCATTTCATTGCAATGATTACAATCTCTTCTGTGCATCATCATTCAACAATATTTGCTTCTATTCCCTCTTTTTTGTGTGTGCTTTTGGGGGGGTCAGGGGAGTCTACACAAAAGCACTTGGAAATACATAAATCAATAATTTAAACAACCAAAGGGCACATGCTGCAAACCTGCCTTCTGGCTGCCAGCACACAATCTTTCCCTTTCCATGAATCTAGAGTCCTCAGCTGCTCCCTCTCTCCATGTCCCCATGTCTGCCTCCATCTCTGGTGTCGCTACTTCTCTGGATAGGGTGCCACATCCCGCTTGTGCTCTTCTCCCTTGATAGTCCTAGGATCCTCTTTTCCTGGACTGTAAGATTAACAACTTTCCCCTTTTGTTATAAAACTTCTACCTTTATAGTTGTGACCATCGCAATTAGTCATGATAACAATTACTCACTATTGAGTCATAAGAATCTTATCCCCATCTCTTTTCACCAGACCCATCTAGACAAGACGAAAACTATTCAATGGAGAGTCTGCCTTTCCCCACACACTTTAAAACTAAACTCCCTCTTAAAAACTTACAAGCCAGTCACTTCATACCTTTATTGCCCCCCTCTCCCCCAACCCCCTAGGAGTCCTAGTGTGGCACTGTGGATTAATGCACCAGGCTGCACAGCCATTTGAACAACAAGGTCGGTGGTTCAAGTTCACCAGCTGCTCCTTGGAAACCCTATACAGGGTCGCTATGGGTCGGAATCAATTTGACGGCACTTAACAACAACAGCATTTTAGATAGCCAATGTCTAAGTTGCCTGTCCCTATTTACCCTGTATACAGACGAGATAGGAATCTCCTTGATGTGGAGATTCCTTCTCAGTTGGTATTTTGAGCTACTACATCCATAAGTATAGGTCAAGTTTCTCAAATTATAGCAATTTATACTTGTTTCCTATTACATATTATTTTTTACAAATTATTTTGCAAATAAAATACTTCAGTCTTTTGTGCTCAGACACTGAGCTAAATCACAGAGCAGGAAAACCAAGAGAAGTAGGTCCCTGCTCTAAAGAGTATGTAGAAAGGCAAACAAATCCAGGACCCATAGGGACACCCTTTTTTGTATTTGATGAATAGCCTAATTCAGCCCCAGATAAGTGGCTTTCAGAGAACAAGCCCCTCAGTGATGAAAAGTAAAGAGTAGAAAATCCATCCGTTCGGAAGTTGTTGTCTGAGCTGAGTCTTTAAGTGTGAAGACTAATGGACTCAATGAGGTGGAAGGGTGTGGAGCGGCAGAGTTTCTGAGGAGTGAGGAGACACGGGATTGGAAAACAGAGAATGGGCATCAAATTGGGAGCAGAGTGCATCGTTCCAGAAAGAAATCACAAAGGTGTCAGTGAAAGCACTGAGAGGCAGGTATAGAGAGGAAGGAATTGTTCAACCAGCCTAGCATAGACTCGCTTGCCTATCCCTTGGCTGGAGTGAGGCGGGAAATAGGATTGACCCATTTCTGATTTCAGTCTGAAAGGACAGTTACCATGTACTACCATGAGAAATGTACCACAGACCTAGTTTGTGGAGGACATGAGGGTTTTCTATAAATCCAGGCCATGTCTTCAGATATATCACTGAGAGTCATCTATTTGAGTAGCTGCTCATCTTTTTGCCCCCTCCCTCTTTAATTATTGTTGTTGTTTTGCCTTGGCAACACTCCTACCCACATAGTGGCATTTAAACCTTTGGAGTTCATTTTCCTGATGATGTTTTCTATTGGACCCTTGGAGTGGACCAGGAGCTGGGCTGTAAGTGTTCTACGTTCATGAGACGGCCCTATGGGGAAAGGTGCAGACTGCAAAGCCCCCTCTGGGCATGCCTTAGCTGACCACAGACTTGATTGTCAAGTCCCAAGACTTTGATTTGGATTGTGTGTACACTGAGCTGTGAATATACATGTTTCTTAGCCATTCAACTGTAAACTCTTCAATGATAAGAACTGTAGCTTTATTCATGTTGAGTTCTTGGAATCCAGCAAACTAGTTAGCATGTTGCTATCATTAGTTACCATAGAATTGATGGCAACTCCTTGAGTACACAGTAGAATTGCTCCATGGGATTTTCAAGGCTCTGACTTTTGGGAAGCACGTTGCCAGGCCTCTTTTCCAAGGTCTCCCAGGGGGGATTTGAACCACTAACCTTTCAGCTAATAGTCAAGCGCTTAATAGTTTTTGTCACCCAGAGACCCTTGCTTGGCATGTAATAGATATTTAACAATTGTTTGATGAGTAGCTGAAGTAAACAATGAAATAAATGAATTCCTAATTAAATTAAACCATGGGTTCTGGTGTTGTTAGGTACTATTGAGATAGCACCCCTGTGTACAATAGAATGAAACACTGTCTGCTCCTGTGACATCCTCACAATTGTTGTTATACTCAAGCTCATTGCTGCTGCCACCATGCCAGTCTTATCTCCTTGGGGGTCTTCCTCTTTTTCACTGGCCCTCCACTCTACCAAGCATGATATCCTTCTCCAGGAACTGGTCCCTTCTGATAACATGTTAGAAGTATGAGAGACGAAGTCTCACCATCTTGGCTTCTAAGGAGCATTCTAACTGTTCTTCGAACATCTGTAGATTATAAGAAATTCTCAATGGGAAACTGGCTCTGTGTATTGCATAAAATCAATTGTTTTTTGTTTGGGGTCTTTTTTTTTTTTTTTTTAATGCAAAATAAGTATTGCTTTTCTTTGAAATGATTTCCGTCTACTTTTAAACCAGATCCATGTCTCCCCTTGGCCTACTCAGCCTCTTTTAAACAATTTTGACTATTCTCTTTTTTTCCCCTTCCTGTCTCACTTGAAGTCATGTGAGCATTTGATCATCTGAACACTTGATTTTATTTGAGATTGCAATGCCCACCCATGGCTACATAAGAATGCCAATAAACCCTCTGGTATCACTTGCCATAGGAAATCCAGAAAATAGGATCCAGAAAATTTCTTTCCTGATTCTATTGTATTGCTTGCTCATTACTAATAATTTATAGTATAATGTATGTGTCAGTGGTACGAGGATGTGTGAATGCACTTGTTAAATACTGGCTCTTCTGCCTTCTTACCTGCTACTAGGAGATTCTGGATGCTCTAGAAAAAGCAGAATCAAAGACTGAGGACCTCAAATCTCAGCTGAATGAACTTTGTCGATTTTCCAAAGACCTGAGCTCATACAGTGGAAAGGTTTCTGGCCTGATTAAAGAATATAACTGGTGAGTATGACCCTGAAATGTTCCAGTTATTGAATATGATAAGTAACTGCCAAAATCAAACCCAATGAAGTCAGTTCTGATCCATGGCGACCCCACGGGTGATGGAATCAAACAGCTCTAGAAGGTATTCTTGGCTAAAGTTTTTGCTTTGTTTCTTGAAACTTTTTATTGTGAAGTGAGTGAAGGTTGACAGAGCAGATCATCAGTTTTCCATCCAACAAAGCCCACATTTTGTTTCATCTCACTGATTGCAGTTCCTTCCATGTAGCAACAGTTACCCCACTTTCTCCCTGGGGTTCCAATGTCCATTCCACCCTCCTTCCCAAGCCCTCTGAACCTTGTCTCCAGGTAAATATTGATCTTGAACAGTTGACCATTCCATGGTGAACATACCTCACTAGCATTGTTCCCTCTGTACCCCTCCATTGCTTGGTTAAATATTGGGCCATGAGGGGTGAGTTCTGCTCCAGACCCAAAGGGTGGTTGAGGGTCATAGTCTCAGTTTCCTCCTGTCTCTGACCAGGAAGCCTAGTTTCTCAAAAAATAACTTTGAGTTTTGTTTTACACTGTCTCTCACTCCATCTGGGACTTCCTCATGTGGCCCCTTGTACATCATTTGGTAACAAGACTAGAATTCTTATGAAAGCAGCTTGTCAGACCTTTGCCATGGCACTGCTGGGTGGGTTCTACCTACCAGCCTTTAGGTTAGAGGTCAAATGCAAAACATTTAAGCCACCCAGATAACTTAAATGAACAAGCCAGCAGTTTATGTAATTTTGAAGACGTGATTTTAATCATATACATGAATTGATCATTAAATATATAAGGGGGCCTCAAATAGTTTAGGGGAAAATGGGATTAAAAGAAAACTGAATTTTCACATAAACATTTTGAAGCCTCCTCATATTACTAAATGAGATGAGTGCATGTTCTAAGAAGGGTTGATTTTAGCAAACATTATTTTAATATATTCTGTCATTTCCTCCTTCCATTGAATGCTCTGAATCCATGGATTTAGCCTTTGCTTGCAAGCATCCAAGGGCTGCCAGAACAGAGAACAAATTTTACAACAAAGATTTCAAAAAGCCTTCAGGGATTTCCAGCAATGGTTGGTGAGTGCAAAAATCACCACAGCCAAATGTTTTGATTTACCTCAAAATATTCACGAAGTTTCAGCAAGTCTCCAAAAAATACAGGTAAGAATGTTACCAATTAATTATAAACTGTGTTGAATTGAATTATTGAGGTACTGCTAGATCTTTTTATAAGTGCATTGCATACTAAAGTTCTGCCCATTACTGGGAGGTACAATGAAGTTAGTTTTCAACTCATAGTGATCCCATGTGGTAGAACAGAACTTGTTGTGGTTAAGTGCCGTTGAGTCAGTTCTGACCCATAGCGACCCTCTATAGGGTTTCCTGTGAGCAGCTGGTGAACTTGAACCACCACTGTGCAGTTTGAACAGCTTTGCAGTCTGACGCATCAACCCACAGTGCCACACCGCTGGCTAGAGTCTTTACAGGAGCAGATAACTAAGTCTTTCTCCTTCAGAGCTACTGGGTGGGTTTGAACCACCAACAAGTGCTAAACCATTTGGTTTGTTGTTACTGTGTGCCGTCAAGTTGATTCTGACTCACAGTGATGCAATATGACAGTAGAATGACCCCATAGGGCTTCCTTGACTATAATCTGTATGGGACTGCCTCTCTAGGTCTATGGTCCTGAGGAGACACTGGTAGATTTCAAATGCTCGCTTTTTGCTGACAACCAAGCACTTAACCATCATGCCACTAAGGTTCCAACTGTTGCTTGTTGTTGTGAAGTGCCATTGAGTCAATGCCAACTCTTAACAACCCTGTATAGGGCTTCCAAGGAGCAGCTGGTGGGTTTGAACCTTGTAGTTTGCAGTCCAGTGTTTATCTACAGAACCACAACAGAAGTCAAGTGTTGCGTTGTTGTTCTTCAGTGCCATCGAGTCGGTTCCGATTCATAGCGACCCTGTATAACGTTTCCTAAGAGGCTCGTGAGCTTGAATTGCTGACCTTTGGTTCAAACTGACCTTACAGCCTTTCCCACAGTGCCACACCTTGACTCCAAGGGTTGCTTAACCAACTCAGATTTCACCTGGTGGGTTTTAACTGCCAACCTTGCAGTTAGCTCTGGAGTATTACCAAGGCTCCTTTCTAAATGACCTTTCTAAATGACCAGCATGTCTCAGTTCTGTCAGTGGGTTTTTACATGCCATTTTCATCATAACCCTATTGCTGGTAGAGTTCTGCTGTGGAATTGTAGGATAGGCACTGGACTGCCTACTGCAAAGTCAGCAGTTCTAGTACACCCGCCACTCCTTGTAAACTCTATACAGGGTGGCTATGAGTCAGAACTGACTCAGTGGCACTTAAAAACAGCAGCATATTGGGGGTGGTATTTTGCCGTCTAGTTGGTTCTGACTCCCAGTGACCCTATATAGGGTTTCCGCAGTTGCAAGTCTTTATGGGAACAGAAAGACTCATCTTTCTCCCTCTGAGCAGTTACTAGATTGGAACTGCAATCTAATGAGTTACACACTCGCCAACAGAGCTTCTTAATAAACATATTGGGCACATAAAATCATTATTTCTATTATATAGGAAATGTAAAGGAGTCTTGGTAAGGTCTCAGCGCTGCTATGTAAAAGTAGCAGGCAGATTTTACACATTTTTCTGCTAAATTTGACTTATTTTTTCTTCGCCTTAATAGTTACATTCCACACACCACACTCAACACCAACATTTTAAAATAGTCACTGAAATTGCCTTTGATACAGGTTCATGTCTGATTAATATATTAGCAGTCCTGAGTAATTGGTTATGAGTTGATTCCCACCACCCCCCCTCCTGAGGGTCTTTCAATAAAAAAAACTAAGTATAAATGCTCATTCTTAGAGTTTGGACATTAGGGACAGACTCTGAACAAGTAAGTGTTGTCTATAACTCTTCTACTACATAAAAACTCGTATTTCATAGTTTTGAATAACTTAGGTCAAAGTTGAAAAGATACCTCTTGTTTTGAAAATATCTTACACTTTTGCTCCAAAATAGAAAGTAGAACTTGGAGCCTCACTCATCCGTTTGTGTGGGAGAAGAATTCAAAACTATTTTTACTCTGTCCTTCCACTTCTCAGCCCATCCTCATCTCTAAGTTGGCAGTCCATAAAGACAAAGGCCCTGGTAAGGTGCCTTGATCTAAGTACACAGAAGAGCATGTTGATTCTTCTGGGCATTCCAGAAGAAATAATCTTTTGCTCCTGTGGTTTTAATTTCTTCTCAAATGTTTCTAAAGAAGTAATGACATTTGGTTATAAAATACAGAACCCACCCACCATTTTTCTGGAAGGAGACTATGTCTTTAGATCGAAGCAGATGGTGGGGAAGCACATGCTTTGACTACGCTTTTCTGAATTACATAGTGGCAACATATCTTTGACTTGTCGTCCTCAAGGACAACTGCCATAGTTCATTGTTTAGCACTTCTATATAACATTGTCTATTACAACTAATAGCCTTCCCTTTTTGAAGGCTTTCCAGGAAAAGTCATGTCTGGTCTCTTTTTAGGGATAGTTGTGCATCTTCTGAGCAGATGGTTTGAATGTTACTCTATCAACCTGTGAACCATGTGCCTGGCCATGTTTACCCTTTTGCTTTGGCAGCTAGGATGCTCACCAGTTGTAAAGAACTAAAAGGCATGAATCACTTAAACTAATGTTGTTGTTGTTGTTAAATACTATCAAATTGGTTCTGACTCATAGCGACCCTGTATAGGGTTTCCGAGGAGCATCTCTGGTAGGTTTGAACCACCATCTTTTTAACTAGCAGTCTAGTACTTATCCTACGGTACCACATGAGGGTATATTTTATTTTACAACCCTTATTTTCCCTTGGTCCTCATTTTCTCTCCTATTTATTTTTTATCTCATTTTTAATGTTTTCTAAGGTAGCTTCTAACCTTTATTGGGACAACTCAAACTTTAAGTGAAAAAATAACTCGACTATTAGAATAAGACCTGACTTAGTTTATACAGTAAAAATAGCTATCTCCTCTCGGACTTTGTCGAGATGGAAGTAGGAAAAAATGCACAGATTTTAGAGCATGCAGCATTTGATTAAGCCAGTCTAACTTTTTGCTTTATAGGAGTTCTTGTCCGAAAGTGAAGATGGGCAGCACAAACTAAACACGATGCTATCTAAAGGAGAGCTTTTGAGTACTCTGTTAACTAAAGAGAAAGCGAAAGGTATCCAGGCCAAACTTGAGAACGCAAAAGAAGATTGGAAAAATTTTCACTCAAATCTCCACCAAAAGGAGTCTGCCCTGGAGGTATGGCTAGCTGGCTGATGGACACATTCTGGTAGTAGCGGTGTTAGCATTGTTGTGGAGATTTTGGTTAAACCATACTTTTCAGTATTCCTGAGTACCCTTGGGAATGGTGTTGGCTATCTCTCTGAATGTAAATGGGTAACTAAGAAACTGTAAGAAGTAGCCCATGGCTGGGTGTGTGAGCCTCACTGAAGAACAAAACCACTTCTACTTGGCAAGGGCTTTGTCACAGACATGTCCATGCCCCATTCCCACAGGACCAGCCCATTTTACAATTCACCTAACCTTCCATTCGGAATGCCTCATTGTGGGAATTATTCTAGGACAATGCACAGACATATAAGGGTTAAGAATCTCATGGAAAATCCCACTATATTTATTTACTTATTTATTTTGTGAACTGAGTGATAGTTTATATGGGAGAACATCGGCTTTACACCATTGTTTCATTGCAATGATTACAGTCTCCTCCATACATCATCATTCAATAGTACTTGCTTCCATTCCCTGTTTTGTTTTGGGGTTTTTCTTGGGGGAGAAGGGGAGAGCATACATAAAACACTCAGAAATATATAGTCATTTAAACAACCAAAGGGCACATTCTGCAAGCCTGCCTCCTGGCTGCCAGCACCCAGCCCTCTCTTCCCATGAATCTACAGTCCTCATTCCCATTATCTTTTCATTCAATTTTCCACCAAGATCCCTGATATTTATGTAAAGCTGCAAAATGTGATAGATAGGAAATACATTATACCTGATATAAATATCAAGTAGTTGTTTCTCCAAGTAAATGACTTAGAGACAATGCGTATGCACTCTGCATTTTATTCAGAGGTAGTATTCCCTGAGATTATTATCATTGTAACGGAATTCCTTCCACAGTGCAGTTTTTTTTCCTGCCGATCGATCATCTGTTTGATTTGTTTAGAGAAAATGTTAAGAGACAGGAGAGGACTTTTCCTTTTGACAGATGTGCTTCCTTGGAGAATAGATTATTAATTTCATTATGACTACCGTAAATGCAAGATGGAAAAATTATAGAGAATTGTTGTTGTTAAGTGCCGTCAAGTTGGTTCCAATTCAATGCAATCCTGTATAAGGTTTCTGAGAAGTGTCTGGTGAGTTTGAACTACCAACCTTGCAGTTCAAACTGACCAGGATTCCAACAGAGAATTAATACCTCAATCCTTTCCTAACCCAGGACCACTGTTGGTCTCCTTTGTGGTGTTTCTTCCATGGTGGACATCCTCCACTTACAAGACAGGGGTACACATTGCGTAGTACTTGGAAATCTGTTCTTCATCACACAGGGATGCCATGTGGCCTGCGCTCTGGAGGCGGCAGCTATAGACTAGACACATCGAACACTGATTGCTTGATTATCTAGTTCAGGATTTGGGCAGGTAGGCGGCTAGGTCAGGAATTGGTTTTGTTTCCTTGCTCTGCCTTTCTGCTCATGACAGGTTTAGCTCTTTAACGGGTCTGTTCTTTCCTCCCTCCCTCCCTCCTCCCTCCCTGTCTTCTTGCTTTGTTGGGTCATTGTTGAACGGCTAGTCTGTGCTAGTCAGTATGAAGGAAACACACAGGATTAAGTCTTTCCCCATGTCTCAGAGAGTTCATTTTCACAGGGGTAGTCTGTCATCTAAAGAGATGATCGCAGTAAGCTATACGGAAGACAAGGAAGATTTCCAGACAAGGAAGATTTCCAGAGCGGTGTAATGTTACCTAAATCTGGAAACAAAACATTATTTGCATTTGTCAAGGCTAAGGTGTGGTGTACTCCAGAGAGAAGGAACTGAATGTGTAGGATCAGAGACTCATGAGCAGTGACCAGGGGCACCTTGAGAAGTTTGACACCAGCGTGAGATTTTGCAGAGAGAGTGATAGAAATAAGACTGCAGTGGGGAATTAGGGCCAGATGGGGAATGTCTTGGGTGCTAAATCATTTGATCTTGATTCTCAACTGGCTCAGAGTGTTGTATGAATGCTGTTTCTCTAATGTGTGGCTTTCAGAGTTGGTAGCTGTAGTCCTGGTATGGTGCCATAGGGTAAGCACTCAGCTGCAAGGTTGGTTTGAACTATAAGGTTGGCAGTTCAAACTCACCGGCTGCTCCTTGGAAACCCTCTACAGGGACACTATGAGTCTGAACCGATTCAATGACACTTCACAACACAACAGGTGGTTGCTGAAGTCTTGAGAGAAATGTTCTGAAAGCAGGTTCCAGGCCTCAATGGGAGGTCTGTAAACCCTTGTAGATAGAAAGCGTATGAAAAGTGTTAGGAGCCGGTTGACTTTGTTCTACTTTTATTTCTAGCACCCAGGTCCTTGCTCATACCTAGTGACTTTGCCTTATACAAGGAACCCCAACCCCTAGCGCTCTGTTCCTCAGTCTCTTACAGAACCTTAATCTCCAACCCTGCTCCCCACCCCCCATTTCTTCCTTTTTGGTGACTTTATGAGACTCCAGTAATAAGAAATTTTAAAACACCTAAAATTTATAAACGTATTTACTTATACAACAAATCAAGCACCTTCCTTTTACCAGGCACCACTCCAGGCTCTGAGTTTACAACAAAGAATTCAACAGAACAAATCCCCGTCCTCACGAAGTGTAAACATTAGTAGAATTCACCTTGGCATCTTACTTTTGTGATGTACTTTTACCTTTCCAAAAGATTCACATAGCTAAGGCATTACCCTAGTAGGTGAATATGGCTGGCATGATTATCCCACACTGTTGTTGTTGATGTTAAGTGCCGTAGAGTCAGTTCTGACTCTTAGCCACTCTGCGTAGGGTTTCCATGGAGTGGCTAGTAGGTTTGAACTGCTGACCTTGCAGTTCAAACCGACCTTGTGGTTCCGTGCTTTATCCCGCAGCGCCCCTCCAGGACTCCTCACACTGTAGAGAACCAGGAGGAGCTTTGGATGGAACCTGAAGCCATTCTCCCATAGGCTGCCCTGGTTTTTGCACTTTGCATTTTCAGCTGACCTCCATAGACTTGCTCTTTGAGAGTGCAACCTACAGAACTAATACATTTTTTAATTCATTGGTTGAATCTTATGGAGCATAAACAGAGCATCCAATGTACTTCTCTCTTAACTTTTATAACTAATATCTGATGGTTTAGACCATTGCTAAAGTAAATGGTGCCATATTAAGCTTTATCAAATACATTTCCAGCTGACAATAGCTAAGGTGTATCTGAAAGTATCTGACACTTTGTGTCTTATTGTAATTCAAAGTAAATTATTTCTTAAGAATATAATAAATATATGGGCAGCTCTCTGCTGCTTGTCTCATCACTAATCAGAATCAATCAAATATTGAGTAGCATTAACACTGTTCTCAAAGGTACCTCCTGCATTCTAGGAGGTATATGATACAGGGCTTTGTAATGCAATTGTGGAGATTGTGCATCAAAAGAAAATTCTCCTTCCAACGCAGTCTATAAAAAGTGTATGGCAATTTAATCAACACCAAATGGGATACAAGTTAAGAAGTGGGTGTGATCTCTGAGGTGGACCGGGTTGTTTTTGTTGTTAGTTATACAACAGAATGAAACACTGCTCAGTCCTGCACCAACCTCACAATCATTGTTATGCTTGAATCCATTGCTGCTGCCACTGTGCCAGTCCATCTCACTGGGGGTCTTCCTCTTTTTTGCTGACCCTTCACTTTACCAAATTTGATGTCATTCTCCAGAAACTGATCCCTGCTGATGAAATGTCTGAAGTATGAGAGATGAAGTCTGGCCATCCTGGCTTCTAAGGAGCATTTTGGCTATACGTATTCCAACAGATTAGATTGTTCTCCTGGCAGTCCATGGTACCATTAATATTTTGTTTTTCACCATAACACAAATGCATCAGTTTTTCTATGCTCTTCCTTATTCATTGTCCTAACTGGATAGGATAGTTAAAGGTTAAATTTAAGGAAAAAAAATAAAAATTCTTAAGAAGTCCCTACAGGATAGTCAAAAATTATACAGGTACCTCGGCAAAGGGTGGAAGCAGGAAAGGGAAGCAGAGAATGAGATTATACAAGAAGGCTTTGAATGCCAAGTGAAGGACGTCAAACATCCATTAAAACATCCCTGGTGCCATGATCCCTAACGGTATCTAAAACCCTGTAGAACCTGAAGATTCAAATGAAGGACTTTGAAGTCAGCGCCGAACCTGTGCAGACCTGGCTCAGCAAAACAGAAAAAATGGTGCGTGAGAGCAGCAATCGCCTCTACGATCTGCCAGCCAAGAGGAGAGAACAGCAGAAGCTCCAGGTAAGAAGACCCCTCCCCACCACACCTGGCCACCAGCGTTCAGAGTCTCTCAAGTTAGAGTATGCTGTCTGGAGACACCAGGGCTCCTTTCTCTGTCTCTGATAGACTCTGTGTCTCCTGAATTTCCTTGCAGGTAGGATTTTCTTCCTTCCTGTATGCAACATTACGTGCAGACTGGACACAGTAGTGTCTCGGGGAACACCGATTGCTTGCCAGTGTTGATTTTGATGTTCTTTGGGGCCACAGCTTTGTCCGCAATGTGCTTTCCTTGGTCTGTTAATAGTAACTTGCTTGTGCTTTTCAGTCTGTCCTTGAGGAAATAAACTGCTACGAACCTCAGCTCCACAGGCTAAAAGAGAAAGCTCAGCAGCTGTGGGAAGGACAAGCTGCCAGCAAGAGCTTTCTGCACCGAGTGTCGCAGCTGTCTTCCCAGTATCTAGCACTAAGCAATGTAACCAAGGTAACGCCTGCCATGTGCTGTGTGGGAATGGAGCGCTGTGTTGCCAGAATGGAGTCTCGCTGTGGGGATGCACAGGGTGTCTGGTGGTGTGCCTTCAGGTCAGGAATAAGGTGAATGTGTGCTGTCCCCAGGCCCTGCTGTCCCACTTCATCCTAACTGAGTTGTCCAAAAAGAGTGAAGCATTATCACACAGAATATTTATTATCACACAGACTATTCATTATCACACAGAATATTTATTATCACACAGAATATTTATTATCACATGGACTATTTCTTTTACTGCTGACCTAGTATGTGCCATACATCATTCATACCATTGCCATCCTAAAATCACAAAGCAGAAACGGGAGACACAGTTCAAAGCTTTTGTTTTACAGAATCTGATAAATACATTGTAGAAGGAAAACATGAATTCCAAGCAGTTCACCATGATGGATCAAGTATAAGAAGTTTGGAATAATACAGTTTTTAATTTTGTTTAGTCTTTAGATTAATGAGCTAGCTGTCACAGGTTTATGATTGAGTGTTTCCAATTCTAGAGCAGCCCTTAAAATTGGTACTCACTAATGGAACTGAGTTTCCTTGAAACCCCTCTGAACAGAGTCAGTGGAACCCTACTCTGTCCTCATTAATAACAAAGACCCCTCTTGAGTTGTAATAGCTACAGATTGTCTCTTAAACTCAGTTTGGCTTATACTGTTTGTTCCTGCCATTTGCCTTTGCATTTCAGATCCTGGAATGTAGGCACCCCTTTTCTTTTTAAGGAGCTCTGCTAGTGCTGTAGGTGAAGTGTTGGGCTGTTAACTGCAAGGTTCGTGGTTCAGACAGTCCCTGGAGGCTGTCTGCTCTGGTAAACATTCATAGTCTTGAAACCCTGTATACAGTCACTGTGAGTTCGAAATGTCTTTCATGGGGCAGTGGATTTTCTTTCATTTCCTAGTTCATTGGTTTAGTGTGGACTTCTTCCAGGTCTGCTAATTCAGGTCTCCAAAAAAAAAAAAAAAACAAAAAACGGTTTTTTTGAGTCATTGTAAAAGTCTGGTGATAAGTCTATGTGTTTGTTATTGTTGTTAAGTGCCGTAGCGTTGGTTCTGACTCATAGCAACACTAGACACAACAAAACAAAACACTGGCCGGCCCTGGGCCTGGTTAAATTGAGCCCATTGCTGCTGCCACTGTGCCAATCCATCTCACTGAGGGTCTTCCTCTTTTTCACTGACCCTCCACTTTACCATGCATAATGTCCTTCTTAGGGACTGGTCCCTCCTGATAATATATTTGATCTGTGTTTCCTCCTATTTATTCTATGGAAACACAGCAAACAAACAATTCTTACTCACAGTGACGGCATCGGATAGGGTGGATTGCCTCACAGGGTTTCCAAGGCTGGAATCTGCAGATGCAGATACCACATCTTTCTCCTGCAGCGCTGCCACTGGGTTCTAGTCCCCAGCCATTCAGTTACCAGCCAAACACTTCACCACTGCACCAGCAGATCCAGGGCTCCCAGTCTATGACCAAGTTACTTCTTGTTGTCTTTCAAAAACCCCTCACATACCTAAAATCAGAATAAATTAAGGACATCTTTCTATACTATTCTATTTAGCTGTTGTTCTTGTTAAGTGCCATCGAGTCAGTTCCAACCCATCGTGATCCTGTTTTAGGCTTCCAAAGAGTGGCTGCTAAGTTTGAACCATTGTGACCTTGTGGTTCAAATTAATCTTGCAGTCCAGTGCTTATCCTACAGCACCACACCAGGACTCTATTCTATTTAATTTAGGGTATCCCAAATCAGTATACTTGCATATTTGAATGCTTTAAACTATTCTTATAAAGTCTTTAAGTATGTTGTACCGAAACCAATCATTAATAACTTTTTAAATGTAATTATTTTTGTTATTTTTTACCATGTCAGCATTTGGTGTCTGTGGAGCCCAATGTTAGAAACAAATTCTCTTAGTCTCCCAGACATGGCATTGGGAAGAAATTTTACCTATTCTTAGAAAATGTCACTGTTATCATGAAAGCAGAGTGCCTAGATGGAATAAGTTGGGATTGTCCTACTTTTTAAAACTACTATCCCAGTATGTTTACCTTCTAGAAGGGCACTTGGCATACGTCATAGGATGGAGACAGCATGTACCTCAGTAATACCTGTGCAGCACATGGGGTGTGTCTGGTGGTAGCTCTGCAGATGGTTAGCTTCACCTTCAGTGTAGCTGTAGGCTGCAAAAGCTCCGTGGGACAGACAGCTGACAAACCCTCCTGTCATTTCCAGGAGAAAGTGTCAAGATTGGATCGAATTGTAGCTGAGCACAATCAGTTCTCTCTCGGGGTTAAGGAGCTTCAAGAATGGATGGCAGACGCCATTCACATGCTGGATTCTTACTGCCACCCCACCTCCGACCGAAGCGTGTTAGACAGCAGAATGCTGAAGCTTGAGGTGAGCTTGCTGAGACATGAACCTCTGAGCTATGGGGTTTGTTTCTCTCAACACAACTCACTTCTCCACCTGCCTGTTGTGATTTTATTACACTATCTCCACAAGAAATCTCTGAAGGCTTCTGTGGGTGTGGTCCTGATTGTATAGGGTGCGGTTGTTCATTTATCACTTAGTCAGCCCCTGATTCACAACAACCTGGACCCCACAACAGAACAAAATGCTGTCGGTTCCGGCACCATCCCCATGAGTCATTGAGAAGGCTGGATTACTGTGATCCATAGAGTTTTCCATGGCTATTTTTCAGAAGTTGGTCACCAGGCATTTCTTCCTAGTCTTTCTTAAGTCTGGAAGCTCTACTGAAACCCATCCAGCTCCATAGCCTCCACTGATAGATGGGTGGTAGCTGCACATCAGTTGCATTGGCTGGGAATGGGGATTAAGCCTGGGTCTCTCAAATGGAAGACAAGACAAGGTGGGCACCCTTAGAATCACTGAACCCAGGACATGTTCACCCCCAACTGCTATACAAAAAACTAAAATAAAAACCCAAATGTTCCTTATCTGATATGCTGATGAGAGGCTTGTTGTTGTTATTGTAAGTGGTGTTGAGTTGGTTTCGACTCATAGTGACCCTGTATAAGGTTTCCAAGGAGCAGCTGATACATTTGAACCACCAACCTTAAGGTTCAAGCCGATCTTGCGGTCCAGTGCTTTATCCAACAGTGTCACACCAGGACTCCGATGAGAGGCTGGTTTCATATAATTATGTATGCACAGATAATTATTTTGATGGCTGTATACATTGATGAGACCTTTCCAAAGCAGATCTCCAGATCTTTCTAATGAGGCGCCTCTGGGTGGGTTAGAATCTGCAACCATTTCTCATCTTAGTTACCTGCCTGTATCATGTAGTCATCTGCTTCTCCCACCCGCAGCTGTCAGGTGCATTTTACACTCATGATAATCCTTCTTCATTCATTCATCTCTGTCACATACACTCACCATCAAGATGACCAGCATCCTGTGTCGCCACCAAGGGATCAAAGATGACTAAAGTTTAGTCCTTGTGCTCCAGGATTCCTTGTCTGAGGTGGGAAGCTGAGCTACAGAAGGAAATTGTATCAGATACAGAGCAGCCAGCCAGGGAAGTGGATGTGGAGGGGAGGCACCTGTCTCAGGAAGTCTGAGTCGTACTGATACTTTAAGAATGATGGAGTGAGTTATCAGGCAAAGATGACAGGGTAGAGATTTCAGAATGGTACCAAAATGAGAGTAAAAGGTGAGGGAAAACCAGAGGAAGTAACAGCATTCTGTTGACGTCAAAGCTGGTAGTGATGGGTAGCTGAGGCGATAAGAGAGGTTGGCAAAGTCCAGATCAGGAAGAGAGGTGAAGCTTTCGTAACTTCAAATTAAAACTTCCTTTTCATATAGAAAAGAAGCAAGATTGATCGAGAGCTTGAATTTCAGCCTGGGACTGAAGAGATGACTTTTATGGGTTAGTGTGCTCAGAAGCTGTGATCTTTGAAATTTTATTACATGTCTATGTTCCCCTTACTAAGCACAGTAAAAGAAACCTTCTGTGGAATTGAGAAATTATTCAGAGAACTGAGACTTGTAGAACCCAGGTAGGTGAAGGGTGGCTGGTGACTCCACTTCTCCATCCCAGCAGCCTTAGAGTCAGGTGTCAGCCCAGCTGCTGTCTCCAAAACCAAAGACCGGTTGCCCGGGAGTCAGTTCAAACTCATGGCGCTCTATGTGTCTTGGAGTAGAACTGCTCCCTAGAGTTTCCATAGCTGAGACTTTTAGGAATCAAATCTCCAGCCCTTCCTAATGACACACCTCTGGATGGGTTCGAACCTTAAACCTTGTCAACAGCTTGCACCACTCAGGGAACTAAATCCACTGCCATCAGATCAATTTCGACTCTTGCCAATCCTGTATGACAGTCCAACACTTAGCCCACCAGGGCTCCAGGGACTAAAGCCATTCGGTTTTACAAATGTTGCTACATAGGTGACAAAGGACGTCTTTGACTTTATAGGCTCTGTTATCCGTGAAGCAGGAAAAAGAGATCCAGATGAAAATTCTGGTGACCAGAGGTGAGTGTGCCCTCCAGAACACGTCTCCCGAAGGCCTTCCTGCTATCCAGCAGCAGCTGCAGACGCTGAAGGACATGTGGGCTTCTCTTCTGTCCTCTGGGATTCGCTGTAAAAGGTAAATGAAAGCCCTTACTACAACACTGGTGTAAATCTCAGTAACAGACCTGGTACTGGATTCTTCCATTCTTTTTTAACCAAAGCTAATGAAACAGAGAGAGACTTTTCATGTAATACTAAGCCCAGGTTTTCATGTAATTAAACTGTGTATTCCCTTAATGCTGTTCGTCACTTAAAAACGAAAAGGTAAATGTTTCCAAATGTAAAGATATATTCATTAAAAACAAGTAGTTTGCCTGATTTGGGCAAGCCCCAGCTGACAGGTGGGTGGTAGCCATGTGTGCTGCACTGGCCAGGAATTGCACCTGAGCATGGAAAGTAGAATTCTACCACTGACCCATACCTGCACCCAAATCAGACAAGCTACTTGTTTTAGGTGCTGTTGACTTGGTTCCAACTCATAGCGACCTGATGTACAACAGAACAAAACCCTGCCCGGTCCTCCACCACCCTCACACTCGTTACACTTGAGCCATTGCTGTTGCAACTGTGCCCATCTCATTAGGGGTCTTCCTCTTTTTCACTGACCTTCCACATTTACTAACATGATAGGCTTGCTTCTTCAGGAGCTGGTCCCTCCTGATAATATGTCCAAAGTTTGAGAGACAAAGTCTGGCCATTCTGGCTTCTAAGGAGCAGTCTGGCTGTGCTTTTAATTTGTTTGTTCTTGCATTCCTTGGTACTTTTAATATTTTTCTCCAACACCATAACTCGCATGCATCAATTCTTTTGTGGTCTTCCTTATTCACTGTCCAGCTTTTGCATGCATATAAGGCTATTGAAAATACCATGGTTTGGGTCAGATGCACTGTAGTCCTCAAAGTGACATCTTTGTTCTTGAGCATTTTAGAAGTGTTGTGCAGCAGATTTGCCTAATGCAGTATGTTGTTTGATTTCTTGACTGCTACTTCTGTAAGTGTTGATGGTGGATCAAAGCAATATGAAGTTTTTGACAACTTCAGTCTTTTTTCCATTTATCATGATGTTATTTACTAGTCCATTGGTGAGGGTTTTTGTTTTCCTTACATTGAGCTGTAATGCATACCACAGGCTGTGGTTTTTAATCTTCACTAGTAAGAACTTTTAAGTCCTCTTCACTTATAGTAAGCAAGGTTGTATCATCTGCATATTGCATGTTGTTAATGAATCTTCCTCCAATCCTGATGCCAAATTCTTCTCCATATAATCCAGCTTCTGAGATTATTTGCTCAATATACAGAATGACTAAGTATGGTGAAAGAATAGAACCCTGGCATACACCTTTCCTAATATCAAGTAATCCACTGACCCCTTGTTCTGTTTGAACGACTGCCCACTAAGAGTAGGAAGAAAGATCTGGTGATGTACATGTGAAAATCAGCTAATGAAAACCCTAAAAGGATAGCAGCAGTTCAGTCGTGTTGTTCTGATTACATTGTACATGGGGTCATCATGAGACAGGCTGACTCAATGGCATTTAACAAAAACAGTTAACTTGGGAGGTAAAGCCAGGAAGAACCAATAGGGGCATGGGATAAAGAATGGCGTAAGAGAGGACAGACAGCAAATCGAGATATTTGAAGCAAGCAAGTTAAAGGAGCCCTGGTGGTGTAATGGTTAAGTCTGAAAAATTGGCAGTTCAAACCCACCAGTGGCCCTGAGGGAGAAAAGAGATGGTGATCTGTAGCCGAGGAAATGCTAGGGGCAGTTCTACTCGGTCTTGTTACTGTTATTAGGTGCCATCGAGTTGATACTGACTCATAGCGACCTGTTGTTGTTATTATGTGCCGTGGAGTCAGTTCCGACTCTTAGCAACCCTACACAGGGTTTCTGAGGCTGTAAATCTTTACGGGAGCAGATCGCCTTATCTTTCTCCCTCGGATCCGCTGGTAGTTTCAAACTGCTGACCTTGCAGCTCGATGCTAGGGGGCAGTGCTACTCAGTCTTGTTGTTGTTGTTAGGTGCCATTGAGCTGGTACTGACTCATAGCGACCTTATGCACAGCATAATGAAACATTGCCCAGTCCTGGGCCAACCTCACACTGTTGCTATGCTTGAGTCCATTGATGCTGCCACTTGGCCAATCCATCTCACTGGGGGTCTTCCTCTTTTTCTCTCACCCTCCACCTTACCAAACATGATACCCTTCTCCAGCCACTGGTCCCTCCTGACAATATGTCTGAAGTATGAGAGACGAAGTTTGGCCATCCTGGCCTCCAAGGAGCACTCTGGTTGCACTTCTTCCAACATGGATCTGTTGGTTCTTTTGGCAGCCCATGGCACTTTCAATATTCTCCTCCAACGCCATAACTCAAAGGCATCAATCCTTCTATGGTCTTCCCTGGTTTCTATTAGGTTTTAGGAGTGCTTGACTCAATGGCACACAACAACATCAGTCAAGTCATTGCTATGGACTTCTGGAACTTAAAATAGCTGGGGGCTCTTGGGAGCCTGTGGACAGCAGGTGCCTCTGAGGTATCCCCCAACCCCAGTGGGAGGAAACTGGGGTATTTGCAAACAAACTCCTATGACTCAGGAGAGGAGAGTTGCTCTCAGGGGTGATAATCCCCTTGGCACTTCATGCTTACCACGCCCTCACACCAAGTAGCCACCAGGAATCAGAGAAAGCCTCAGACTTTGATCTGGGAGCGGGCAATGGAAGTTCAGTTTGCAGTTTACTGATAGGGTTATAGGACCAGGGTTATACGAGGGGGCTTCAAATGTTCATGGAAAAATGAAATGAAATGCTAATGCTTTGATTCCAGGAACTTTTTGAAGTATAGGGTAGGGCATTTTTTGAAGTACAGGATAGCGCACTTACAGTGCCTGCTACAAACGAACGCAAAGCATCGTAGCATCATTAGGCTCAGTGATTAAGAGAATTAAACAGGTAACATGCATATTGGGAGAACTGAACTCTAATTGTTGATTCTGATTCATGGAGATTCCTGTGTATCAGAGTAGAGCTGTGGTGCTTAGTGTTTGCCATGGCTGACTCTTTGGAAGTAGATCACCTGATCTTTCTTCCAAGGTATCTCTGGGTATTCTCAAATCTCTAGCCTTTGGGTTAGCTGTTGCGCTCCTTAACCATTGGCCCCACCTAGGAACTTCATCTATTGAGAAAAAGAAATGCTTAGTCTATCCGTAAGAGCAACAATCAACTTTTCATATTTAGACCAACTCAGAAAAGATTACCCTATTTGTTCCTGGTGATTTTGTGATTTATAAACCTTCAGTAAGACAGCTACTGTGCCTCTTATTCTTCCTTGGTCTGTCCTGCCTGGGGATAGCCAGTCCTTTCTTTCTCTGCTCTGCGTGCTCTGCCCAGCTGGGTGTCTTAACCATCATCAGCTCTTTCCCTGCCTTGGGTCCCCATTATGGAATGTCTTGTGTTTTGATTCTCCAGCCTCTCTTAGGACCTCCAGACCTCTCGTAACTGACTTTAGATCTCTGTCTGCTCCCTGTCGACTTGGACTTACGGTGTTAATTGCTTTCGGAGGCTGTTCTTACCAGACACCTAGAACTCTGGTGTGATAACCCCCAAATACCTGTCTACACCCAGGTCTGCCTGGGTCCTCATTGCTGGGTCTCCTAGCTGGAGAGGATAGAGCAGACAACTGATGCTGGACTTCTGGGGTTGTTCAGTAGCGATTACTGTCCTTTAAATGCCTTTCAGTCAACTCGAAGGAGCCCTCTCTAAATGGACAAGTTATCAGGATGATGTTCGGCAGTTTTCCAGTTGGATGGACAGCATTGAAGCCAGTATAAGTGGGTCTGAACGGCAATGTGCAGAACTTCGGGAGAAAACAGCTGCTCTCGGAAAAGCCAAGGTTAGTGCCAAATTCCGTACCCATTTGCTTTGTTAGAAATCCATATCGGTTACCATGGAGTCAGTTCTGACTCATGGTAATCAAGCCCTTGTATGTCAGAACAGAACTGTATTCCATAGGATTTGTAATGACTGACTTTTTGGAAGTAGATTGCCAGGCCTTTCTTCTGTGGTACCTCGGGGTTTACTTGAACCTCCAACTTTTGTTAGTGACTAAGCATGTTAATCTTTTGCAATATACAGGGTCTCCTTTAAGGTGCCATAGTTGTTGTTGTTGTTATTAAGTACCATTGAATTGGTTCTGACTCTTATTGATATTATATAGGATTCCAAGGTCCCATAGTGGTTATAAGTCAGGCTGCTAACTGCAAGGTCTGCAGTGCAAAACTGCCAGTTGTTCCGTGGGAGAAAGATGAGGCTTTCTGCCTCCATAAAGATTTAAAAAGCCTCGGAAACCCTATACAGGTTTGCTGTAAATTGGAACCGACTGCACGCTACATAACCAAAGTACTACAATGTGAAGTTTGACAGGCCAGAGTTTTATAGGGTACACTTTTACTGCACATCTAGTTTTTCAACTCTATTCAGGAACTAGTTCTTGAATGGCCTTCTCCATCCCAACTTTATTACGTTCTGAACAGCACTTGTCATCTTCTCCCCGAGACCTTTCAACCTCAGATAGTCTCAGCCTCAGTTCCTATGGGCCCTGTACACGGATACTCTAAATCAGAAGCCTCATAATCCCTAGCTCCTTCTTTCCCAGACACACTTCGCATCACCCCTGGAGCCCAGCTGATCTTTCCTCAGTAATGTCTTTTCCCGATCAGTCCTCTTGTCATATTCCACCGATTTAATGTTGTGCCAAAGTCTACCAGCTGCTCCCATTGGCTCTTTCTCCTCTACTGTAATCTTCATCATAAGAGCACCTATTGGCTTCCCTGAACCTACAGGATAATGTCAGTAAGAATTTCAACAGTCCCCAACTGACCTTTCTCCCCCACACTCCTTCTACACATCTCCAGCCTTTGTTTCCTCCACACACTGTGATCTTATGATCTCATGCTTTTATAAAATCTCTTCCATTTCCGTAGCATGCCCCCCGCACCTTGGCACCTGTCCTAACAAATATGCTCACATGTGCACACTCAGGTGTGTATATCAGATATGTTGTTTTTGTGTTGGATGCCATCGAGTCTTTTCAGACTCACAGTGACCCTGTAGAGGGTTTCTGTGGAGCAGCTGGTGGGTTTGAATTACTGACTTCATGGTTCTAATTGACCTTGCAGTTTATGTTTATCCTACAGCACCACACCAATATCATATATGTTGCTGTTGTTGTTAAATGCCATTGAGTCGGTTCTAACTCATAGTGACCCAGAATAGTGTTTCTGATGAGCAGCTGGTGAGTTTGAAAAGCTTGTGATTGAAACTGACCTTGTAGTCCTGCGCTTATCCTAGATCACCACACCAGGACTATGTATGTGGGAATATAGATACATATATACACCAGGGACCTGCACATACATGCTTCTATGCACACAAATACACACATATTTATGATAACCTTGTTGTTGTTAAGTCCCATCAAGTCTGTTCCGACTCATGGTGACCCTGTATATGGTTTCTGTGGAGCAGTTGGTGGGTTTGAACCGCTGACTTACAGTTCTAATTGACCTTGCATCCAGTGCTTACCCTACAGCACCACGCCAATATCATATATGTTGCTGTTAAATGCCATTGAGTCGGTTCCAACTCATAGTGACCCAGTATAGTGTTTCTGAGAAGCAGCTGGTGAGTTTGAAAAGCTTGTGTTCAGACCAGCTTTGTGGTCCTGTGCGCTCCTCCAGTGCCACACCAGGAGTATGGATGCATGGATAGATCTATATACATGCACCAGGGCCCTACAGAGACACAAACACACACACACATATATGTGATAACCTGGTTGTTGTTGGTTATCGGTAAGTCCGACTCATAGCGACCCTGTAGAGGATTTCCAAAGAGTGGCAGGTGGTTTTGAACTTCCGACCTTGGGATTAGCAGTCCAGTGCTTATCCTACAATGCTACACCAGGACTCTGTCACAACCTGACGGCACTGGTAAACAGTATGGTTAAGCTTACTGAAATTTAGCCGTATCACTGATATGATGGTGAGCATGCTAACTCTTATTTTTTTTCTTCAATGCTCTCTAGTTGTTAAATGAAGAAGTGCTGAGTCACGGCAGCTTGCTGGAGACCATTGAAGTCAAAAGGGCTGCCATGACAGAGCACTATGTCACCCAGTTAGAACTTCAGGACCTGCAGGAACGGTACAGAGCCATCCGAGAGCGGGCTAAGGTACGGTTCCCCCCGCTCCATGTAGATTCACCAGACGAGCAGTGTCTGAAGTTCTCTTTATTTAAAGATATGTCTAGTTTTTTGAAAGACAGGGCTTGTGAAAACAGATGGACAAAATGAAGTAAACTCAATGAACACATTAAATGTACCTACAAATAAATATTAAGAAAAAAATGTAGACAGCTTTGTAATAAAAACTCACAATTGACTTACTATGTCGGATGTTGAGAATTTCCTAAGATGGGCAATACTGTTCAATACGCTATTTAGCATTCTTTAGACCTTAAGAATAAATCTGATTTATTCTTATAAATAAATAATGCTTCAGAGCAAATCCTAATTTATTAAATAAGGTAGAAAATGAGATCTTCAATGAGTCAAAACTTTATTTTGAGCACATTACCAATTTCAGTTTTCTTTCTTAGCAAAAGTATGTTTTTATGAAAAGTGAAATTTAATCCAGTAAAAAAAATTTTTTTTGTATGTCCATGCTCCACAACATAGGATATTTAAAAATCAAGTAGTTCATTGAATAAAATGGTCTTGAAGTTCCCTTTTCATCCTGAGATCTTTTGTTTTTCTATTTTTCAAATTAAAATTTGAAGGTTGATTCATCCAGGAATCAACCCAATTTAATAATTGTGATTTTCTAAAAACTTTTAAAGTAAATTCTTCTAGCATATTGATCCTGTAGATATCAATGCACTCCTATGTCACTCATCATAGGAAGCAGTAACCAAGTGTGAAAAACTAGTTCGTCTACACCAAGACTATCAGCGAGAGCTGAAAGCGTTTGAAGTTTGGCTGGGACAAGAACAAAACAAACTTGATCAATATTCAGTCCTTGAAGGGGACGCCCAATCTCACGAGACAACGTTACGTGATCTTCAGGTAATGTCTTACTTCATATCAAACAAGGGGATTTTCCTTCTGAACATGGACTTTCTGGTCTTAGCAAGGGGAGAATTGGCCTGTGTTCATTACACCCCTGATGAGATTTGAGCTTAAACACTTGAAGACCTCAGTACTGTAAGCTAGTTGAGATCAAGTGGTGGACAGTTTAGACCTGGCAGGGCTGGGACTTGGGTAAGCCATTAAGCTAGAAGGATGGACCCTGAAGGAATGGCTTTTGTTAAGTTCCTTAGACTTGGTTCCAACCCATAGCGACCCTGTATTGAGTTTCTGAGGAGCAGCTGGTGAGCTTGAACCGCCGACCTTGTAGTTCAAACTGATTTTGCAGTCCAGTGCAGTAACCCACAGCGCCACACCAGGCTAGCAGTCTAATATATGGCGTTGACGGGACACTTGCCTAAAGGATCGAATCCTCTGTAGGACATAGTTGTTGTTGTTAATTTGGTTCAAACTTCTAGCAACTCTGTATAGGATTTCCAAGGAGCAGCTGGTGGGTTTGAACCACTGATCTTGTGGTTAGCAATCTAGTGCTTATCCTAGAATGTCACACCAGAACTCTGGAACATAGTAGTGGGCACCAGTTAATTGTGTTGCTTCTTAAAATCAGACTGATGGCAGCATCTGGGACCATCTGGCTTCAAACTTGCTGAAGATGCAGGTCTAGGGTCAGAAATGTTAAAAGAGCAATTAGAGGAGCTAGAAGAAGTGTCTGTGCTGAGGCAAACAGTATATGAAAAGGTGGGCGATGTTAGACCTACCTAGTAAGTTATCAGTACTTACTCATACAGCATTCAACATCCCAGTCCTCAAGGGCCTCAGTCTCCTGAGGAAGGCAGATCCATAGGAAGAGCATTAGAAGCAACATGATACGGACAGTAATAGATGTAATGCAAGGGATTCTGTCTTAATATTACTGAGAGAGATAGGCCGGTGAGAGACCTCCATGCCTCACTGTGAGATGGAATTAGCCCTGGCAGAATCGGTTCAGGGTGGGGCAAGACAGACGTCCGAGTAGACATGGTGGGAAAGGCAGGAGCTGTTGTTACTGACGTACAGACTGTCTGGTGATTTGAGGAGGGACTGCTCACCAGCTGACCCTCAGAAACCCTATACAGGATCGCTATGAGTCGGAACCGACTCAACAGCACTTCACAACAACAACATACACTGGCCGGAGCATGTGGATGGGATTGTGAAGCTTAATCCTCTCTGGGACCTGACACTCAACAGCTTTCTGACTCAGTTTTCTCCACAGAGGTGTTGTGGGACTTAATGAGATGGGGGAACATATTTAAACAAATAGTCTTTTCATGAAGTAAATATATATTACCTATTAGAAAGGTCACAATGTCATTCGCTTCTTTACAAATCTCATCCATTCTGTCTTAAAATAGGAGGATATACTAGTCTTCCAGGTTTTGCTTTATTTTAGTAGAATTGACTTTGTTTTCCCTAAATGACCCCTCTCAGAACTTCCCTCCAGGAATCTTGGCAACAAACATCAAACACTCCAGACTTCTGTATGGGAATCCAGCCAGTGAGTTACATGCCACAAGCAGATGTTTCTCTTGATCTAGTCAGAAAAAACAAACAAAAAGAAACGGATTTAAGTCCGAATCAATATGGCCCTAACTTTACCAACCTCTGATTTCATCAGGACTCAGAGCTTCCATTTTCTTATTTCAAGTTACCCCAAGTATAAGAAAAAGCAGAAGATGCTAGTGGCAGAGAAAAGGTAATGGGGAATTGGGATGTTCCAGCTCCACCACAGAACTTCTTCAGATCCTGAGGTTCCACAGGATGCATTCCAATAGAAAGCAAGTGACTTCCTAGGGTCACACATGATTCCCTGTAAATCAAAGGCTGAATTTGGATCATGGAATGTGTTTTTGCATATACTGAACCATACTCTCTCTTTACAATAAATGTTGAAATATAAGATATACAAGAATTTATTTCATGCATTGATGGTTTGTATAACACACAAAACTTTTTTTTTTTTAAATATATAAAATATGAAAAGGATGACATTGGGAAGATTTCATAAAATGGGACAGGGGTAAGCCAACTGCAGGCTATGTACCAAATATGAGTCCAACACTTGTTTTTTTAAATAAAGTTTTATTAGGACACTGCCCTGCCCACGCATTACTATATCATCCATGGCTGCTTTGGCGCTATGGTGGCAGAGGTGAGCAGTTGCAACAGGGACAGAACCTAAAGTATGTCCTATTTTACCCTTTACAGAAAAAGCTGGCCAGTCTCAGAATTAGGGGAAGGGATTGTCTATATAAAATAACTTTGAATAAACTAAGAATGTTGGCATAAAACTTCATGTTTGTGACCTTTTTGATTAATAATTTGCCATATACTAAGGCTACCACATGACTGTCAGTTTGTCATATTGTGGTGGCATGTGAGTTGCTGTGATTCTGAAAGCTATGTCACCGGTATTTGAAATACCAGCAGGGTCACCCATGGTGGACAGGTTTCAGATGAGCTTCCAGACAAATCAGTATAGGAAGAAGGAATGACGAACTACTTCTGAATATTTAGTCACTGAAGATATTATGAATAGCAGAGAAACACTGTCAGATATAGTGCCAGCAAATGAGCCCCTCAGGTTGGAAGGCACTCAAAATGAGACTGTGGAAGAGCTGCCTCCCCAAAGTAGAGTTGACCATGATGACGCAAATGGAGTAAAGCCCTCGGGACCTTCATTTGCTGATGGGGCACAACTCAAAATGAAGAAACAGCTGTAAACATCCATTAATAATTGGAACATGGAATGTACGAAGTATGAATCTAGGAAAATTGGAAATTGTCAAAAATGAAATGGAACGCATAAACATCGATATCTTAGTCATTATTGAGCTGAAATGCACTGGTATTGGCCATTTTGAATCTCACAACCACATGGTTTATTATGCCAGGAATGACATAGTAAAGAGGAATGGTGTTGCATTCATTGTCAAAAAGAACATATCCAGATCAGTCATGAGGTACAATGCTGTAAGTGATAGGATAATATCCATGTGCCTACAGGGAAGCCCAGTTAATACCACTATTCAAATTTATGCAACAACCACTAAAGCCAGTGAGGATGAAATAGAAGAATTCTACCAGCTTCTTCAATCTGAAATCGATCAAACATGCAATCAAGATGTATTAATCATTACTGGTGATTGGAATGCAAAGGTTGGGAGCAAAGAGGAAGGACCAGTAGTTGGAAAATTTGGACTTGGTGATAGAAATGATGCTGGAGAACGAATGATAGAATTCTGCCAATCCAATGATTTGTTCATTTCAAATACCTTCGTTAGACAGTATAAGAGACAACTATACACATGGACCTTGCCAGATGGAATACATAGAAATCAAATTAACTACATCTGTGGAAAGAGACGATGGAAAACTCCCTATCATCAGTCAAAACAAGGCCAGCGGCAGACTGTGGAACAGACCATCAGTTACACATGTGCAAATTCAAACTGAAGTTGAAGAAAATGAAAACAAGTCCACAAGAGCCGAAATATGACCTTGAATATATCCCACCTGAATTTAGAGATCATCTGAAGAACAGATTTGATACATTAAACACTAAATACTGAAGACAAGAAGAGTTGTTTGGGTAATAGGTTGGTGGGTGGGGGAGTAAAAAAAAACAACACAAAAATACAGAAAAGTTGTTTGTGGGATGACATCAAGAACATCATACATTTAGAAAGCAAAAAATCATTAAGACAACAAAGAAGGAAAAGGTCAAAATGGATGTCAGAAGAGACACTGAAACTTGCTCTCCAGCAAAGAGATGCTAAAGCAAATGGAAGAAATGAGGAGGTACAAGAGCTGAACAGAAAATTTCAAAGATCAGCTCGAGAAGACAAAGTAAAAAATTCCAGGGAAATGTGCAAAGATCTGGAGTCAGAAAACCAAAAAGGAAGAACACGTTCAGCATTTCTCAAGCTGGGGGAACTGAAGAAAAAAAATTCAAACCTTGACTTTCATTATTGGAGGTTTCTGTGGGCAAATTATTGAATGAAGCAGAAAGCATCAAAAGAAGATGGAAGGAATACACAGAGTCACTGTGTGTTGATGGAAATGGTTGATGTTCAATCGTTTGGAAGTAGCATATGATCAAAGGCCAATGATATTAGAGGAAGAAGTCCAAAGTGCATTGAAGGCACCAGGAATTGATGGACTAAAAATTGAAATTTTTCAAGAAAGTGAGGTGGCACAGGAGGAACTCACTCATCACTGCCAAGAAATTTGGAAGACAACTATCTGGCCGACAGATTGGAAGAGATCCATATTTGTGCCCATTCAAAAGAGATGTGACCCAACGGAATGCGGAAATCATCGGACGATATCTTTGATATCCCATGTGAGTAAAGTTTTACTGAAAGTAATACAGAAATGGTTACAAGCATATATTGACAGAGACCTTCCAGACGCTCAAGCCGGATTCAGAAGAGGCTGTGGAACAAGGGATATCATTGCTGATGCCCGGTAGATCTTGGATGAAAGCAGAGACTATCAGAAAGATGTTTGCCTATGCTTTATTGACTACACAAAGGCTTTTGATTGTGTGGGTCATGACAAGCTATGGACAACATTGCAAAGTATGAGTATTCCGGAACACTTAATTGTGGTCATGAAGAATCTGTACATGGATAAAGAGGCAGTTAGTCGAACAAAATATGAAAACTGTGAATGGTTTAAAATTAAAAAAGGTGTGCAACAGGGTTGTATTCTTTCACCATACTTATTCAACCTGTATGCTGAGCAAATAGTCTGAGAAACTGGGTTCTATGAAGAAAAACGTGGCATTAGGATTGGAGGAAGACTCATTAACAACCTGCGATATGCAGATGACTCAACCTTGCTTGCTGAAAGTGAAGAAGACTTAAAATATTTACTGATGAGGATCAAAGAGCACAGCCTTCTGATGGATTGTGTGTCAATGTAAAGAAAACAAAAATCCTCACCTCTGGACCAATAAACAACATTCTTATCGATGAAGAAAAAAATTGAAGTTGTCGAGGACTTCATTCTTCTTGGATCAAATATCAACACTCACAGAAGCAGCAGTCAAGAAATCAAATGACGTATTGCATTAGGCAAATTGGCTGCACAAGACCTTTTTTTAAAGTGTTGAAGAGCAAAGATGTCAGCTTGAAGACTAAGGTGCACCTGACCCAAGCCATGGTATTTTCAGTAACCTCATATGCATGCAAAAGCTGGACAGTGAATAAGGAAGACCATAGAAGAATGGATGAATTTGAGTTACGGTGTTGAAAGTGCCATGGGCTGCCAAAAGAACCAATAGATCTGTCTTGTAGAAAGTGCAGCCAGAGTGCTCCTTGGAGGCCAAGATGGCCAATATTTCTCTCATACTTAGGAGAAGGAGGAACCAGTTGTCAGGAGGAACCAGTCACTGGAGAAGGATATCATGTTTGGTAGGATGGAGGATCAGAAAAAAAAAAAAAAAAAAGAGGAAGACCCCCAGTGAAATGGATTGGCAAAGTGGGAGCATCAATGGGCTCAAGCGTGGCAACGGTAGTTAGGTTGGCCCAGGATCGGGCAGTGTTTGGTTCTTCTGTGCATAAGGTCGCTATGAATCAGCACCAACTCAATGACACCTAACAACAACAACAATATACTAAGGAGCTTCAAAAAGTTTGTAGAAAAATCCCATTACCTTTTTTTTCCATTTTCTAAGAACTTTTTGGAACCTCCTCCCAATATCTTGTGATAATGTTCTCCTTTACACGCATGTCCACATTGTACCATCCTTGTAGTGACACAACATGTTGTTGTTATGTGCCGTGGAGTCGGTTCCGACTCATAGCAACCCTGTACAGGGTTTCCGAGGCTGTAAATATTTACTGGAGCAGAACGCCTCATCTTTCTCCTGCGGAACAGCCGGTAGTCTCAAACTGCTGACCTTAAGGTTCGCAGCCTGGTTCGTAACCACTACGCTACGGAAACAAATATATCTGTTGGCATGAAACATATGAGATTGCCCTTTTTCTCTATCAAAACAAAAAAGGTCAGATATCAGCAATTTCATTGGCTTGGCTTCATATGAAGGATTTTTTTCTCCACTCAATATTTGATGCTTTGAAAGTTCTTTGGGTTTGACTGGGTTACTTTTGACTTCAGATAATTAGGTCAAGTGCGAGTTGTTACCGTTTTCCTTACTTCAAATGCATAGTAAGGCTTTGCTAGCATCCTTAAAAATATATATATAGTTTTTTTTTCTATGATAGTAGATTATGTTTCTTGAGACTTGACTCATTGACTTGACTGACTCTTGAGACTTGACTTCTGACTCTGCCGGGTGAATGATTTGGTGGCAGGAAAGTATTCACCCTGTGGGTGCTCCTTGATAGAAACAGTGATTGGTAATCCTGCTCTAGTCCCAGCATTCCCCATGTGTGTGCCCTGTGACTTCCATAGCCAATGTTTTATGATCACCATACTCCCTCGAGAACAGCTTTGACAAAGAATCCGCCCTTAGCAATGAAGACTCACTTTTCCTTTCTCAACCACAAGTATAGCCGTGCATCCACTCAGTGTCCACATGGGAGAAACCTCAGACTCTAAGCAGATTATGGGATTTACCAAGTCTGTGCTATTCTTTTTATACAACAGCTTTTTACTCATACGTCTGTCTGTCTGTAAACTGAACAGTCAAATAGCAAAGTAATTTCTGAGATGATGAGGGAAAATATTGGGATGTGTATGTCAGTCATTCTATCTGTAAGAATTTCAGAATCATTCTCCTGACTTGGTGATGAGTATTTAGGGTTAGGGCCACATTTGGTAGAGAGAAGATAGAATGAGAGCCTTCCTGTCTGAATCCCTGGCTTATGTAAGACGTGGTATAAAATGTGAATGAGGAGTGCCAAGCAGACTTTTCTCTACAGGAGCTGCAGGTGCTCTGTGCGGAGGGCCAGGCTTTGCTCAATGCAGTGCTACACAACAGGGAGGAAGTGATCCCGTTCGGCATTCCCCAAACTGAGGACCGGACCCTGGAGAGCCTCCGCCACGACTGGCAGGCTTACCAGCAGAGACTGTCCGAGACCCGGACTCAGTTCAATAACGTTGTGAACAAATTGCGGCTCATGGAGCAGAAGTTTCAGCAAGTGGATGAATGGCTGAAAACAATGCAGGAGAAAGTGAGTCTGCGAGCTGGATGTCAGTCTTCCCGGGCCACCAAGGAGCTCCAGTTACATCAGATGGAGGTACAGCTAATGGGCACCCCTTATCTTAGACAAGGCAACCGTTACCTTGCATTGTTTGTTTCACTAAAATATTTAGGTCCTTTTTTGTTCAAGGCTTAGATTTGGCCAGATCTCCTCCTGTGTGCCTAGAAATGTAAAGTCAACAGCAGTGTTGTTGTTGTTAAGTGCCATTGAGTCAATTCCGACTCAGAGCAACCCTGTATAGCAGTAGAGCATTCCTATTACATTAAGTATTTCATAGCACCATAAGTAAGTCTTTAACAGAACGTAATTTAATGGAAATAGTTTCTGTTTTCCTCCCATATCTGACTATTGCATTACTTTTTATAGATTGTTGTTGTTAAGTGCCATTGAGTTGGTTATGATTTTGATATGAAATTGCTCTGGTATAGGACAGTGCAATGATACGTAGTAATTAAATTTAATGTCATTTGTATGCAATTTCAGTGCATACAACCAAAATAATGCTTATGATTTTGAAGTTCCTTTTTGTTACTCATCTATATTAAACTGATATATGTGCAACAGAAGATATATAACTATATATTACTTTTCTTTTTTAATTTTTTAATTGAAGCGTAATTTATACAAAAAATTATCCAAATCAGGAGACTGCAATTTTTGTTGTTTTTGTTGTGCAACTTTATATAAAATTATATATTATACATTTGAGATTGAGTCTACTAAATATTTTATGTAAAAGCTCACTAAAATTATCTCCTATTAAGATACATTTTTGTTTTTAAGTGCTATCGAGTAGGTTCTAACTTGTAGCTACCCTGTATACAGTTCTCAAGGAGCAGCTGGTGACTTTCAATCACCGACCTTGCCATTCAACCAGTCAAACAACATTCTAGTCTTGTGCTTAGGCTATAGTGCCACCAGGACTCCGTTAATGTGTGTGTGTGTGTGTGTATTAAATATACATATATAATACATGTATACTTGTTGGTTAGTGCTGTTGAGTCCATTCTGACTCAAGTGACCATGTGTAGGATCTCCAAGGAGTGACTGTGGGTTTGAATGACCTTGTGGTTAGCAGCTGAACAAGTAATCTACTATGCCACCAGCACCCCTTATATATACGTGTGTGTGTGTCGGCCCCGTATAAGGTTTCTGAGGAGCAGTTGGCAAGCTTGAACTGCCTACTCTATATGTCTATATGTACATTGTTGGTAAGTGCCGATAGTGACCCAGTAAGAGTTTCCAGCTGGTGGGTTTGAACTGCCTATCTACTGGTTTGCAGTCCAGTGCTGATCCAGCACCATACCAGGAGTCCATGTACACATATATGTATACATGCACATACACATATTTATAAATTGTGTGCATGTGTGCAGTCCCTGGGTGGTGCAAAATGCTAATGCACTCAGTTGTTAACTAAAAGAATAGTAGTTTATGTTCACCCAAGGTGCCTCGGAAAAAAGACTTAGCGATGTCCTTCCAAACAATCAGCATTGCCCACCCTGCGGAACATAGTTCTCTCCTCATACTCTCTATGACTCAGAGTAGACTGGATCACAACTGGTTGATTGGTTTAGGTTATTCAAGAACACCCCAGGCTTACCCTATACCCCTAACACCTTCTTCCTTTCAGAAGTGGCATGAAGAGATGGCAGCGCACAGAGATGAGGTGGAGGAGGTGGGGGCTCGAGCGCAGGAGATCTTGGACCAGAGTCACGTGAGCAGCAGAATGGTCTGCCAGGCCACCCAGCTGACGTCCAGATACCAGGCCCTCTTGCTGCAGGTGGTGGTAAGTGGTCAGTAGCCATCACAAGCCACCTGCTTTCTTGTTAGCTTACATCCACACAGGTCTTTAACTCACAGTTCACTTTTTATGTTTTCCTCTAAAGGAACAAATAAAATCCCTGGAGGAAGAGATTCAGAGTTTGGAGGAATCCGAATTTGCCCTTAGTGCCTACACTGAGTGGTATAGCTCTACTCAGAAAAACTACAAAAATGCAGCTACCAAAATGGACCAAGTGGACCAGGCCATGATGGCGAAGAAAATGAAGATGCTAGAGGTGGGCATTTCAGAGTTGTCTCTCCACGTGTCTTTCTTCACCAGGCTGCCCCATTCTCCTGAACTCATGTCCATGATATGATATGATTAGATTGTCATCTGTGTCTCATCATTTCTCACCAAATGCTAACTGATAAGCTCTTCATGGCCAAAGACAGTTTCCTGTATTTGTGAAATCATGCTAGCCTGGAAGTCATTACTTCCACATGGCTGATAATTAGATTCTTAAGTGAATCCCACCTTGACGCTTACATATCAAGGGAGAAAGAAAAGCTTTCTCAAATCCATGACACAGTGCGTTCACTAAGGTTTGTAACTTAGGTCTTGAAGAACATCAAGATTAAGAGAAACATCAAGCTCTCTTTTAACTCTCGGATTTGGAAATGACATATTAACCAATTCTTCTAAAGCGTGGATTCAAAAACCCATTGCTGATAAGTAGATTCCAACCCATGGCAGCCCCATGCATTTCAGAGTAGAATTCCATAAGGTTTTCTTGGCTCTGAATCTTCGTAGAATCAGATAGTAATAATAGAAAAAGAATTCCTGATTTGGGGTAGGATAAATCTGGTTATAAACTTCAAAACTGATTTCAGGGTGAATTATGTAGATGAGTCTGTGAATGGGACTTGAAAAGGCCTCTTCTATAATAAGAAAAAATGAAGACTCAACTCTCCTTGAATTTGTTATGTATTCATTCTCTCACCCAGGTTTTGCTAAAAGACATGGAGAAGGGTGACAGTTTACTGAAATCAGCCCGGGAGAAAGCAGAGAGGGCTCTTGCGTTCTTGGAGGATGCTGAGGCGGAAGTCCTGAGGGAAGAGACCCACGGTCACGTGGAACGGTTGAAGGACCTCACCAGCACAGTCCGGAAAGAGCACATGGCTATGGAAAAAGGCCTGCATTTGGCAAAGGAATTCTCAGATAAATACAAAGCACAGATTCAGTGGATAGCAGAATACCAGGAAATCCTCCTCACTCCTGAAGAACCCAAGATGGAATTATATGAGAAAAAAGCCCAGTTGTCTAAATACAAGGTAGCGTGTCGATGGCTTTGAGGTCGTATAGGGGTTTAATGGGAATGGAACGATTCTGGTGTTACCCAAGCTGCCACTGGTAGAACAGTTTGGCATGTCTGTTCCACTGGTGTGGATAATGCTGTCACGTGGGTAGATTGATGTGGCCAGGGATGCATTCTTTGAAATTTATTTTTCCATTTCAAGGATCATATTTGCCCAATACTCAAAGACTATGTTGATAAAAAGAGATCTTTCTTGACAGTATGATCCACGAACATATAAGGGGGCTTTAAAGTGTTCTAGGACAAATGGATGAAAAGATAATGGGATTTTCTCATGAATTTTTTTAAAGCCCCCTCATGTATCCTTGCAACGAATCTTCCTGCCATTATCTTCTATCCATATTTTTGAGTTTCACCTGTCTCTCTCAGTCATCCCTCCATGTTTTGGTACCCAAACCCTCCAAGGCATCCTATGATGAATCAAAAAGAGATGTTGTGTTTGTAAGGAAAGAAGTTCCGATTAACAAACTACAGTGAAACACCTTGTTGTTGTTGTTGTCAAATCAGTTTTAACTCATGGTGACCCTGTACAGGGTTTCTGAGGAGCAAAAAGCCTTCCCTTTGGCCAACTGAGTGGCTAGTGGGATCAAGCCACTCAAACCACTGACCTTGTGGTTCTCAGTCCAGTGCTTAATGTATAGAGCCAAACACCTTAGAAATCAATGTTTAAAATACTATACGCATAGTGACCCTTGATGAACATGTTATAAAAAGCCAGTAACTGTTGAATCTATTCTGACTCATGGTGATCCTGTGTGTGTTAGAGTCAAACTGTTCTCCATATGGTGGACTTTCAATGGCTGATTTTTTCTGAAGTAGATCCCTAGACCTGTCTCCCAAGCCATCTCTGGGTGGACACAAACCTCAACCTCTAAGTCAGCATATTGACCATATGCACTCACAGGGACTTTATACATAATGAAGGTAATTTACCTGCTCAAATCTTTCAGTCACCTAAAATTATCTGTATTTTAGATTGGATCATAATAATTCAGTGATAGTGTTTAGGTATTACAGTATGGCTTACCCCGAAGCTTTTCCTTTTAGAAGCTTTTGTTCCTATCTAAGCCTGGCAGCTTTTGTTGTTGAAGATGTTCAGATAAAGAACGCAACCATTTCCCTTTTTTTCAACTCAGTTCTTGATGTCTAACTAGCACTTTAAAACTTGTCACCGCAAGGTTGGGGTTGGAAGTTTTCTCCTTATTTCATCTCCAGTTCAAGCTGTAAAGTTAACTTCACATACTCAGAATCAAATGATAGGGGTCTCACTCCAATCAATTTATGTTGAGACTGTTTCTCTCTGTTGAAAGAAATGAGGTGGGAACCAGAAATACCAGTATGTTAAATATGTTGTTGTTCATTGCCTTGGTGTTGGCTCTTGGTAATGTAAGGATAACAGATGAAAATGTTGCCTGGTTCATCATCACTGTCTTCTTAATCTGTGGGCTCATTTCCAGCACTGTATTGCTGTGACCCACATGGTTTTATTGACAGATTTTAAAAGAAGTTCTCCACTTCCTTGTCTGTCTTCAGCTAAAAGTACTGCAAAAACCTGTTCACCATGGACTGGTAATATTTAAAATACAAGTGCCATAGTTTCCAGCACCTCAGCAGTATGCAAGCCACCGTAGTACGGCAAACTGGCGTAGGGATGGTGGGCGTTGCAGTTATCCAAATATAATTATCTTCCATGCTTCGTTCTCCACATGTGAAAGGGCCATTTGACATGCGACTCTTACTCTATATTCAAAAACTTTATGAGCTCTTAGCAAAGTGTTCTTAAATGTTTTCATTTATTGGGTTATAAACTATATATCAGACCTTTGGAGTCCTGGTATGGTGCTGTAGGATAAGCACTGGATTGCTAATTGAGAGATTGGTGAGTCAAACCAGCTGCTCCTAGAAAATCCTATCTATACAAGGTCACTATGAGTTGGAATGGACTCACTGGCACTTAACAACGGGGTGGATCATCTCATAGATAGCATCCTGGTGTGGCATTCTGGGATTAAACACTGGACCACAAGGTCAGTTTGAACCACAAGGTTGGTGGTTCAAACTCACCAGCTGCTCCTTGGAAATCCGATACAGGGTTGCTGTGAGTAGGAACCGACGCAGTGGCACTTAACAACAACCACCTCTTGTGGATATGTATGTAACCAGCTTGAACACAAGTTGAACTAGCTCTTTTTATTTTTTGTAATTCAAGTCACTCCAACAAATGGTGCTGACACATGAGCCATCCATCAAATCGGTGAAGGACAAAGGTGCGGCTCTTCTGGAACTGGTTCAGGATGCTACGTTGAAAGACAAACTAGACAAACTTCAGGCTGATTTCCAGGACCTCTGCTGTGCAGGCAAGGTAAGGGAGATCAGAATTTGGTGAAAACAAGTTATTTACCAAAAGAGGGCTCTGACTCCTTTCTTGAGGTAAGGTAATTTTAATGGTTGTTTGGGGTCATTTGATTCAATAGGCATTTTAAATGACAAACAATGGCTAGATCATTTTGTTGTGTTCTTCTTTTCTTTCTGATTCCTGGAAGGTTTTCCTGCCTCACTGTGAGATACACTGGGTTTTTTTTTTTTGAAATATAAAACAGTTTAGAGTTAGTTTTTGTCTTGAGTGTCACCTGTGATGGGCGTGTATTATAGGAACATGTCCTCAGCCTTGAGATGAAGGTCAGAGACCATGAGGATTACAACAGTGAGCTGCAGGAAGTGGAAAAGTGGCTGTTACAGATGTCGGCCCGGCTGGTGACACCTGACCTCATGCAGACCAGCAGTCTGGAGACCATCACCCAACAGCTGGCCCATCACAAGGTACCCATCACCTCTCATGGGCCCCCTATACTGCTGTATACTGTAGCCCAGGCACAACACAACAAAACGTTGCCCTGTCTGGCTCCATCTTCAAGGTCATTGGATTGTGAGTGCCTTCCCTCATGGGGGTAGGGAGCGTACTGTTCATCTTACAGCTCTGTATCAGACAATATTCAGCTTTAATTCACAGAGATTGCATTGGGTAGTTTTCAAAAGCAGACCATCAACCTTCCTTCCTAGCTTGTCTTAGCCTGGACTCTCCACTGGAACCTTTCCACAGTGGCTCACCCTGCTGATATTTGAAATATGGGCGTCATACCTTCCAGTACCGTAGTAACACATAAGCCCCAAAAGGTGACCAGCTGACAGACTCGTGGTGGCAACAATTGAGCAGGATGGTTCTCATAATTCATGCTTTTTTGCATGACTGTGTGTGCATGCACACATGATTGAACTGGCAGTGAATGAACAGGCAGAATCAGCTCTGAATCTCAAGAATATTTGGGAATTGAGAATGAGAATATTTGACTCTTGGCATTCAACACCTGAACCCTATACAGTTTTTCAAGCTAATATTTTTATCTCACCATTTACTCTTTAGTCATTTATTTTGGTGGGTGGGGATAGAAATAAGGAGTTAGAAGTGTTGTTGTTTCTGTGTGCCATCAAGTTGGTTGCAACTCATAGTGATCCTGTATAGGATTTCTGAGAGTGGCTGGTGGGTTTGAACTGCCAACCTACCAGTTACCGGACCAGTGCTTATCCTACAGTGCCACACAGAGAATTAGGATTAGGGCTGTGGGCAGGTCTAGGCTACACCTAATGTTATAGCTAGGACTAGGGCTATAGTAGGGGCAGGCCTAGGAGTAGAATGTAGTCTCATTTTAGGGTTACAGTTAGATTTATTTATTTTTCTTGAAATTTACTCAATTTCTTCTTCATTAGAAAGTTCTGTAGCTATACTAATCCCTCTTTATACTTTTAGATTTTTATTGTTGTTGCTTCAAACTTCTAACTCTGGTTCTCTATTTTCAGTCTTATTGATGTGTTTCACTTGTATATTTGTATATGTGTGTTGATTCTGGGTGATATTGTCATGTATGTTGACCTCAGATTGTTGTCTATTGCTTCTGGTTCTCTGTCCAAAGAATTTTTAGTATTTTTTGTAAAGTTTGTCTGGTTCTTACAAATTTTGTTAATGTCTGTTTATCCAGAAATGTCCTAAATTTGAGGGACAGTTTTGCTGGGATATGATTCTTGGTTGGCAGTGTTTTTCTTTAAGAGCTTTATATTTGTCATCACATTGTTTTGTTGACTGTCTGGTTTCTGGTGAGAAATCAGAGTTCTGCCTTATTAGTTCTCCTTTGTAGGTAACTTTTTGTTTTCCCAAGCTGTTCTCAGGATTCTTTCCTTGTCTTTGGTTTTGAAGAATTTGATTATAATACGTCTTGGTGGTTTTCTTTTATTTAGAGTTCATTCAGCTTTTTGATACATGTCATCTTCATCTTTCATGATATTAGGAAAGTTTTCCACAATTCTTGGGCAATTTTCTTTGTGATTTTTTATGTCTCTTCCTGTTGTAGAATTCTAATCAGATGTGAACTATCCCTCTTGATGGTATCCCAGATAATTTTTAGGATTTCTCTGGGGTTTTTGTTGTTTTTCTTTGTTCTGATTACTCCTCTATCAAATGAATGTTGAGAGATTTGTCCTCAGGCACAGCAATGTGGCCTTCCATTGATTCAGTTGTGCTTCTCATCTTCAACATATTACCTGTTTCTGAAATCTTAGTATTAACCATCTGGATTTCTACTTGTTTGTTTTGGTATGATTTCTAATATTTCATTTATTTGATCAGTTTGTTCTTATAATGTTTTTCTGAATTCTTCTACAGTTTTTTCTACATTCCCCTTGCTTTCATCTGCAGCTTTCTTATTCTATCTGTTGAATGTATCTAACTGTCATTCTTTGGAATTCCTTATCACTGCAATTTTTGGAACTGTATTTTCTGACTTGTGTTTTGGTCTCTTGTTGGAGCTACTTGGTCTTGTTTCTTCATGTAAGCTGAAAATATTTATATTTAACTGATGATTAATGCCTGGTGTGTTCTTAGACCATCACCCCATTTCCCAGTGGGTGTGACAACTGTCTTTGCTGTTTATATGACATAGCTGAGGACGGCCTTGTCTGAGGTTGACGGCTAAGTATCGCTGATCAGGTGGTATCGAGTGGGAAGAGCTGCTGTCACAGTAGGTGGAGCCAAAGGAGGGACAGATGTGGTTGGGCCGAATGGGCACAACTACTATCTCCCCAAAAAAGATAACAGAAATAAAAGATCACTGAGGTGAAATTTGTGAGCCTAGAAATGTGGATGCCCAACCCCAGGTAGAGCAGAGACTGAGCAGGAGGGGGGGGGGTTGCCCCTGGCTGCTAAGCAGGTGAGGGGAGGGGTTGGCCATGCCCCTGGCAACCAGGAGAGTATGGGGAACAAGGGAGAACCATACCTTTCTTGCCAGCACACCAACAGACAGACAGCAGTTCCGTCTTCTCTTTTGCCATTCAGTTGAGCTTCCACTCTCAGTTGACACTCAGTCTACCTCTCTGTCCTGTCATCTGAAGTTCAGGGTTCCAGATTAACTACCTGTGTCTGTTCTGCTTGATCTCATTTCAGAGGATCTGCTCAGCACATCTGCTCCTCCTCCGTCTTGCCCCAGAATTCCCTCAGCATTTAGTCTTTGTGGAGTAATTTATTAAAAATAGAGATGATTTCTCTTTTAGAAAAGTGTGATGCAATAGGACCAGCACTGGACTGTGAACCACAAGGTCGGTAGTTCAAACCCACCAACTGCTCCTCAGAAAACCCATCTAGGGTTTCTGTGAGTCAGAACCAACTCTATGGCACTTCACAAGGATGAAGGACTAATAATTAAGAATTCTCGGGTAGAGGCCAGACTCTTGTCCCCTGACTACCTGAGGGAACTCTGCTTCTGTGAGCCTCTTTTTAAACTCTTCTTAAGGCTTGCTAATCACACCAGCCCCATCATCTATCTGTGGTCATTATCACGGGAGAGAATGTATCTGTGTGGGAAGTATTTTGAGAACCACAAACTATGAAAGTGGTGCAAGGTTTTCTTCTCTTTATTAATGTGTATTACTAGCAGTTATATGTACCAGATAACTGACATCATGTCGTTACAACTTTATGGAGCAATTATAGGTGGCCACAGTTGGAAACTACATTTTAGTCATGACTCGGTCAGTAGCTAGCAGTGTCTTAGGACTCTCTGGGTTTCCATAGTCTTGCCTGTAGAGATTTTTATTTAGCAAATATGAATGGAATACTACATGATACATTCTACAAGTCACTGAGCTAATACCAACCCAAGTCGGTGGTGTATCCATTAATACCTTCATAATGCAGGGGTTCCTTTCCGATTGGAAGATGAAATGGTTCTTTTCCATTTGATGTCTATAGTAGACATTAGCCCGGCCTGTTCTAGAATGTGGTGGAGCCCTAGCTGCTGAGGGATCTCCTGAGTTCATCCCAGATATAATGGGGTGTCCATCCAGGAAGACCTGAATTGCAGAGTGTTCTTACTAACCGTTAGCATCATAGGGGATGGCTGTGTGTTGTTGAGTCGGTTCCAATCTATAGCTACCCTATATAGGCTTTCCAAGACTGTACATCTTTATGGAAGCTGAAAACCTCATCTGTCTCCCATGGAGTGGTTGGTAGATTTGAACTGCTGACCTTGTGGTTAGCAATCTAAAGCGTAACCCACTATGCCATCAGGGATCCCAGAGATGAATACTAGATATGGATAATTAAATATTATATAAATCGATTATAGATTATTAACTAGATTAAATTTTATGTTGCTTTAGTTATATTTGATTCAAGATTTAGAATTTGGAAAGATGGAAAATTTGTAGATGTTGTTTCGTTGATAATAATATCATGGAACAGCTGTTTCCATGGGAAAGTCAATCCTGAATGCACTGTAAGATGATGTCATCATTATCTTAATTCCCTAAACTCATTAACTCTATTGAAGTACCAGACATATCCTGAAAACATAGATTTGCTTATTTTCTTTTTAGTTTCCTTCTATATAATCAGGAGTCTTGGTGTTGTGCTGTAGGGTAAGCAATGGACCACTAACCACAAGGTTGGTGGTTCAAATCCACCAGCCGCTTCTGAGAAACCTTGAGTTACTATGAGTCTAAACCAACTCAGTGGCACTTAACAACAGCAACCATATATAATCAGAGGAGCCGTGGTGGCGTAGTGGGTGGCATGTGGCAGGTTAGCCTTGGTTGCCAGAGTGGGTGGGTGGCTTACTGACAGTTCGAGCCCACCCAGTGCTTCGAGGGAAAAAGATGAGACTGTCTGTTGCGCCCATTAGGATTTCCAGGCTCAGAAACTCTACAGGGCAGTTGTACTCTGTCCCGTCAACTCACTGTGAGTTGGAAATGTCTCCATGACAGTGAGTGACCGTGGTAACTTGTCACCAAGATGAATACAGGACTCTTACACAAACCACAATCTATTAAAACCCTGAGATTACCAACCTTAAGTGTTCTGTTTGGTGACTGCACTCCTTTAAAATGAGAAATGGATTTCTTAGAATTCTATGTTTCATTTTCTTAGGCCATGATGGAAGAAATTGCTGGCTTTGAAGACCGATTGAACGACCTTAAAGTTAAAGGTGACAATCTGATCAGTCAATGTGCGGACCACCTTCAAGCTAAACTGAAACAAAGCATCCACACCCACCTTCAGGGCACCAAGGACAGTTATTCAGCAATCTGCAGCACAGTTCAGAGGGTAGTGTATCACCAGGACTTCGTATAAAAACCAGGAATGATTATTGACAACAACTGTGGATTCTAGAACCTTCTAAAAGTAGTACAGCTGCTTTTGATGTGTGGATAGATTGCTGAGTGTCAACGTGGGCACAAAACTAGCTTATAATGCCTTTGTGGATTAGTTTAGATTGTTGCTGTTCTGGAATATCACTTCTAAAATGAAATTTGGACATCACACACCCCCTTCTACTTTGTTGTAATCTGGTTCCAGTTGGGTCCTATCTCTGAAGCAGTGCTGTTAAAATTAGAGAAACATTGGTTAGCTTTTCATGAGATGGTGTTCTGTATTTACTTTTAGTTTCTGGTTTAAACAAAATGTACAATGTTTACACCATAGAGGGGGACGGGATGGGACCTGCAAATGCCTCTGACTTAATTATGTTTAATGATTTGCTTTGATGATTCGATGTTTCTAAATGTCTAGCACAGCTCTGCAGTTAGGTTAACCTTGCCCACCTTCCCTTCCCTTTAGGAGGGCTGTTGCATTGTGATGTGTGGGTTAGAAACCATGAGGGAGGTATGGGTAAAGATGTTGTCTAGTGTTGGAGTGGTGGTGGGGAATCCGTTTAAATTAGTATATTGAATTATTTGTTTAATTCCAAGGCTTTGTATGGAGATCTTGAATGTCCACAGCAACGTCGGCGTGTTTGCTTTATTCTAGGTGTACCAGAGTTTGGAACATGAGCTTAAAAAGCATGTGAGCCGGCAAGACACGCTGCAGCAGTGCCAGGCCTGGCTTTTGGCAGTCCAGCCTGATTTACAGCCTAGCCCACACCCCCCTCTCAGCCGGGCAGAAGCTGTTAAGCAGGTAAGAGACTCCTGAGAGTTTATGTTATATTTATACTTCTGGCAGACATTCAGCATTCAGCAACAGAGATGGGTTATTACTGAAGCAATGAAGGAGTTCCTTCATCAGTCTTTCCCCTTGGCCCCCTTTACTTGGACTTTCTGGTACTACCGGAAGGAGCACTGGTCGCTTGGGCTGCTAACCACAAGGTCAGTAGATCGAGTCTACCAGTTGCACTGTGGGAAAAAGACAAGGCTTTCTGCTCCTGGAAAGACTGATGGCCTGAGAAACCTGATATGAGTTGGAACCGACTGATGGATTTAGAGAGACAAGCACAGAAGAGGCAGCTCAGCCATTTGGATTATTTACCGCGTGCCAATGAAGCTGGCAAACTCACCCTAACCTTTCTCCTTATGTGTCTGCAACACACACAAAACAAGTTAAAAGAAGCAAAATCCCAAATAAGCAACCAGTGCTTTCTCCTCAATGGAGAATGAGCTAGAATTTGAGCAGAGACTTGTGGAGAGCTGTAGATGTTTCTTGGGGTTTCCTAGGTTATACAGGGTATGTTAAGTTAAAGAAGCCAAACGGATCTCTGTCCTTTATTTAGCTTTGACTTCTTTCCTGGGAATCACTAGAGTACATCACTTACTAACTGGTAACAGTACTGAACAGAGCAGCGTAGCAGTGATTGGGAGGATGGCACTGGACCGGGCAGTGTTTTGTCCTGTTGTACTTGGGTTTGCTGTGAGTCAGAACCAACTTGACGGCACCTAACAACACCACCACCAATGAGCATGTTGTTGTTGTTGTTAAGTGCCATTGAGTTGGTTTCGACTTATAGTCGACTCATAGTGAGCCTGTTTGTATACAGTTTCCAAGAAGTGACTGGTGAGTTTGAACTGCCGATCTTGCGGTTCAAAGTAACCTTGAGGTTGAGTGCTTATCCTACGGCACCACACCAGGATTCCAACACTGAGCATAGATAGCAGCGTTATTTTTAAACATCAACACAGCATGACAAGTGTTGTAAATATTTGCTGCTCAGCTACAACGTGCATCTCTCTCCCCCCATCCCTTGTCTCTTCTCAGACCAAACACTTCCGAGCTTTGCAGAAGCAGGCACGTACCTACTTAGACCTCCTTTGCTCCATGTGCGACTTATCCGACTCCTCGGTGAAAACCACAGCAACAGACATTCAGCAAACAGAGCAAATGGTAAGAAAGGACATTTTGAGTCACCTTGAATGTTTCTACTTTCTATTATTGTCTGGAATGAAAGTTCTAGGTGAGGCTGAAAGAAAACATCTCCTTAGATGACTCTTGCAATAAGGCTTTAACAACTGTCATCTGAGGGTTTTTGAAGGGAGATAAGCCTTCTCTCTGATATTGTTTCCACTGAATTGTAAATAAAACACTTAGCCTTCAGCTACTTTCCTCTGCATATCTTCTTTTTTCCCTACCTTAATCATCATTTTCTTTTCCTCCTTTCTGATTTTTTTACTTATTTTTTGTTGTTGTTATTTATTTCCTCCTTGTCCATTTTGTTGTTGTTGTTGTTATACTTAATAGGATTCCTGGTGTGGCACTGTAGGATAAGCACTAGATCTCAAGGTAGGTTTGAACTTTGAACTACCAGGTCGTCTGTTCAAATCCCCCAGTCGCTCCTTGGAAGTTCTGTATGAGTCAGAACCAACTCAGTGGCACTTAACAGCAACAACAAAAAGTTCATCTGAAGGAGGATCCTGAGCCTTACTTTCTATCAGAGATCGCAAAGGCCCTGCTGCCCATCCTGACCCACCGGTCACAAATAATCAGGTTTCAAGGAGAATTCTGAAGCTCTGTCTCCACTTGGCAGGAAATTGTGGTGAGGGGTTAGCAGCATCCTGTCCACAGCAGTCACATTGGCCGTGAAGGTGCTGTGCATTCTTGTGGTGACCTTACAGTCTCTAATGCAACACATTTGGTGTGAAAGAGAAATCAGACTTGTTTTTGTTATTTAATTTAATAAATGATCTCAGCATGGTAGAACGATCTAAAGGAAAATCAAGTGTCATCAGGTTAAGGTAGGTTTTTCTCTTCTGCAGTTATTAACAAAACACATCAATATTTAAATCCTTGGAGAGATTATTCATATCGTTTTATAGAAATGATTTACTGAGATAGGTTATAAAATCCAGTGAAAGGCACCTGAAAATGTATCTAAAAATGTGAATAACAGTGTTTGATAAAAAGGATCAACAATTGTCTGCTTGAGAACAACATAAATCATCCTCTAGTTCACCCCAAAGAGCTCTGGTAGCGTAGTGGTTATGAATCAGGCTGCTAATCTCAAGGTCAGCAGTTCGAAACCACCAGTGGTTCCATAGGAGAAAGGTGAGGTGTTCTGCTCCCATAAAGATTTACAGCCTCAGAAACCCTGTACAGGGTCGCTATTAATCATAACCGACTCCAGGCACACTACCACCACCACCAGTTAACCCCAACACCCAATTCAGGTGTCAGTGAAATAGACAATGTCTGTCATCATGCCCACTGTGAGCCATTGTTAACGACAACTATTGAACTAACCAGTTGGTAACACTTCTAAGAGCCTCACAATACTGATTCAAATCACAGGGCACAAGGTTTAGATGTTTTCAGTCTTTGTTGTTGTTAAGTACTATCGAGTCAGTTCCAAATCATAGTGACCCTATATAGGGTTTGCAAGGAATTTGAACCACCAACCTTGCAGTTCAAACCAACCTTTCTGTCTAGTGCTTTGTCCCACAATCTGCTGTTCCTGAAGTAAGTTCTTTGTGGAGTTATCTGTGTGTGTGTGTGTGTGTGTGTGTGTGTGTGTGTGTGTGTGCGCGCGCGCGAAGTACATGTATGGGGTTTGCAATGACATATGTCCATCCGTCTGGGCACATGGGCAGGTAAAACATCACTGCTTCATTAAACAGAAATGCTTTCAATTTTCCCCACTGTTTTCTCTCAAGATTGAACAGAGGCTAGTCCAGGCCCAGACCTTAACTCAGGACTGGGAAGAGATCAAGCACATGAAAGCAGAGCTGTGGATTTACCTCCAGGATGCTGATCAGCAGCTGCAGAACATGAAGAGGAGACATTCAGAACTGGAGCTGAGTATTGCACAGAACATGGTTTCCCAAGTAAAGGTAGGAAGCAATTTGTCATTGCAGGGCGATCAGAGAGGCAGAGATGGCAGAAACAATGGAATGCATTTCATCTGTTCAGCTGCACTACACCTGGGGTCAGCAGCTCCTGAGGCATCAGTGTAGCTGTTTAAGAGAGGACAGAGAATCAGAATTGCCTTCATTTGATGCCAGGGAAGGGTCCATCTGAGAGGAAGCATTCCAGTGGTTTCTTGGAATTTCATCTGGCAGCTTGCATTCTACAGTATGTGTTCCTGGTCAAAAGCAGCTGTGGTTTAATCAACAAAGGCAGAAATCTCTGCTACTCAACAAGCTTGAAACTTTATTATGTGTTCTAGATGTTCACTACTGCATTGCAGTTGTTAGCCATAGGTTGAACAGCAATCGTCAGTAATAGGTGGTGAATTACAGCTAAGTCAAGGGAAAAAAATCATGCTCTGGTTGATTTTACTGAATTGTAACTAAAACAGTAGCCTTCAAAGACTTTCCTTTATATACACCTCTATCCTCAGTTTTAAGGAGCTCTGCTAGCATAGTGGTTACAAGTCAGGCTTCTAAGTCAAGGTCAGCAGTTTGAAATTACCAGCCATACCACAGGAGAAAGATGAGGCTTTTTGCTTCCATAAAGATTTACAACCTTGGAAACCCATGCAGGGTCACTATGAGTTAGAACCGACTCCATGGCACACCATCACCACCATCCTCATTTTTCCCTCCTTAGTCACTGTTCTTTCTACCTGTCTCCTAATTTTTCCATTGTAGGATTACAAGCTTATAATGAATTAAAATATAATTGTTGTTGTTAAGTTTCATAGAGTTGGGTCCAACTCACAGTGACCCTTTGTAAGGTTTCCAAGGAGTAGGTGGTGGGTTTGAACCACCAGCCTTGAGGTTAACAGTGCATATCCCACATTGCTATACCATGACTCCATGAAAATATAGTAGACACTTTTTATAAGTATATTAACACGTACAAAGTTAGGCTGGATTTTCAGCAAGCTTTAGGATTTACTGTTTCTTTGTAGTGAGTCATATATGTTTTCTGCTGGTATATTGTCTGCAAATGCAGAAACAGAATAGAGGTGAGATACGTTAGATTCTTTTTCTCTTGAAAGTCTGAGACTCTAAAAGTCTTCAGAAAACAAAGGCTGTACTTTAAGGTAAGGTACTAATTGTCTTCTTTAAAGACTACAGTATTATTTTACATATTTCAATTTTCACCCAAAGTATCACAGTAAAAGAAAAATACCATAGCTGTCCTTTGATTTGGGTACATAAGGAGGTATATGATTTTCTATTTGACCCTCAAGACCAGTTAAACATTCTTCAGTTTTATTATGTCCAAGTTCTTAAAATGTTTGGAGTTTCTGTATCTGACTCTAGACTTCTTGCGAGGTTCCTTGTTTTTGATGTTGATGTTGTTCTCTTTTAGGATTTTGTTAAGAAAGTACAGTCCAAGCAGGCATCAGTGACAGCTATCCTAGAAAAGGTGATCAAGTTAACAAAGAAACAGGGGTCTCCTGAACACAAGGAGATAACTCATTTAAATGACCAGTGGTCAGATCTGTGCCTTCAGTCTAACCAGCTGTGCTCACAAAGAGAAGAAGATCTGCAGAGGACAAGAGACTACCATGACCGTATGAAGGCTGTTGAAGCTCTTTTAGAGAAATTTACTACTGAGTGGGACAACTTGGCCAGGTAACAGAAACTCTCCAGTGCATCAGAGAAACGCTGTGCCAGAAATTTCCTAATCTCTATAAACTGCTATGCCAGAAATGTCCTTTTTTTTTTTTTTTTTAATTTAAGCATATGTCATCTTTCATTCTTGATATTGATAGAACATAGTTGACCATTTGCTCTTGAGCCAACTGCACCTCATGGCAACCCCATGTGTATCAAGGTAGAACTATGTTTCACAGGAGTTTCAATGGCTGTGTTTTCAGAATTTGCTTACTAGGCCCTTGGTCTGAGGCACTCTAGGTGAACTCAGATGTCCAACGTTTCAGTTGAGCGCATTAACTCCGCACCACCCAGGGGCTTCAGAACTTTGTTACTAAGTGCCGTCGAGTTCGTTCTGACTCATGGTGACCCTGTATAATGTTTCCAGGGAGTAACTGGAGGGTTTGAACTGTGGACCTTGAATAGTCAAGTGCTTACCATACAGCACCACACCAGGACTTCCTAGAATATTTTTAAGAAATAACATTATCATATGGATATAGATTTCTGGTTTTTCTAGCCCAATAATTAATTTTGACAGTGGATAAAAAGAAAATGTTTGCAAACAACAGATTTACTCTGTGACCTTGAAGAATATTCCAAGGACTATTAGTGGGACCTGAAAGAATACACCAAGAATATTTCTAGTTTCCTTCCATTGTCGTTCATAGGATTATTATTATCTATAAATTCCCAACATGTGTCCTTTTTGAGCCCCAGGTTTCTTATCAACTCTGTAACGTCAGACTTTCTATGTTGGTCAAACAGGTTATATCTTGTATTGTCGTATTCAAGAAATATAGTGAAAACAGTACAGATTCTATGGACCTCTGTTCTTTGTAGCAATTTAAACCACTCTTAACACCTTTATTTGCAAAATTAGGATTTCCCCATATTGCTCATCATTTGATAGCTCTTGTATTTTTTAATCACTAGCACTCAACCACAAGGTTGGTTTGAACCACATGGTTGGCAGGTACACTCACCAGCCTCTCCTTGGAAGCCCTCTACGGGGCGGTCACTATGGGTTGGAACCAACTTGAAGGCACTTAACAACAACAACAACAACATAATTACCAAAAACTGCACTGCCTCTGCCCAAATGTTATTAGCTTGAAGTATTTAAACTGCTGGAATTATTCTAGATGTGGTATAATTATGTTTTTATTTTCTATATACTACCTTACCAGATTGCAAAGCCATTTGAAATGCAAGGTAGGTGGTTCCAGCTCACCAGCTGCTCATCAGAAACACTATACAGGGTTGCTATGGGTTAGAGTTGACTCAGCGGCTCTTTAACAACAACCTTGTTTTTGTTGTCAGGTGCTGTCTAGTTCATTTCAACTCATAGCAACATCATATGACAAAGTAGAGCTGCCTCATTGGGTTTTCTAGGCTGTAATCTTTACTGGAGAAGATCACCAGTTCTTTCTCCTGTTGACTGTGTAGTGGGTTTGAACCACCGACCTTTTAGTTAGCAGATGAGTGGTTAATCTTTGTGCCACCAGGCCTCCTTGTATAGTCTAGGTACAGGTATTTGTATTGTTCCTTAGAAGCAAGAATGATGAGATGTGCTCCCATGTACTTTGGATATGTTATCAAGAGGGACCAGTCCCTAGAGTAGATATAATGTTTGGTAAATTAGAGGGCTGGTCTTAAAGAAGACCCTCAATGAGATGGAATGACATAGTAGCTGCACCATCAGGCTCAAACATAGCAACAAAGATGAGGATGATACAGGGCCAGACAGCGTTTTGTTCTGTTGTACGTAGGGTCGCTAAGAATCAGAACCAACTCAACAGCACCTAACTACAACTTAGGTCCTTAGGTGGCACAGACACTTTGTCATGACTACCACCTGAAAAGTAGACTATTCTAAGAACCAGCAATCTGATTTCAAAATGCTGCCTTCTTGAGAACCCCATAAAGCAGTTCTACTCTGCACACGTGAGTCAAAATCAACTTGGCGACTGACAACACACTATTTTCACGTCTGTTTTCCATACTTTTCCTGGATGAACAACATCTCATCTTTTGTTCTTTATTGGATCAGAGGGATGAATCCAGTCATTATAAAAAATAAAACCAAGAAAACATCACATATTTTGCCTGACAGTTAGGCAACTGTCCCAGCACACACCTCAGACTAAACATGTCCAGAACTCATTTTCCCAAGTCCCAAACCTGCTCCTCCTACTTCAGAATGAATTGTGTCAGAAACGAAAGAGAATATGTTTCCACTTTTCCTGTGTGTTCTATAGCCCACATGGTATGGATTCTTAGATGCCCAATGAAGGACAAAACTATTTGCTAAATACACAAATTCCTAGTTGCTAGAGTGACCAACTTTCTTTACACATTGTACCCAATAGTGCTTTGTTATTTCTTGGAGCCTCTTAATGTGAGGTACATAAAGCATGAACTCCTTATTTGTTCACGTAAGTGCCATCGCCAAGAATGTAGTAGATCAGTGCTGTTCAATATATAATGTTTCACAAGCCCTCAAGAGCTCGTGTTGAAATGCAGATCTGCTTATCTGTTGATAAGAGCCAGAGGAAGCTAGCTTACATTGTGGGGCAGCTCAGCTGGAAGAAAAAAGAATACAGAGGAGGGATCAAGGCAACTTGATTTGGTTCAGCTGCTAGTATTTGTTATTGTTTTATGCTTACTCAGTTTTTCTTCATGTTTTTCAAAGTAACACAGCAAAAGAAAATTCTACAGGTCTTGTTTGAATCTTATACACTTAGAAAATTTTGTCTTCATAAGAGGTTAGATAACGTTTCATCTGTATGGGAATGGATTCTACAATACATATGGCATCTTCCAGTCAAATATATACTGAGCTATTTTAGTTACACCTACCCTATCTAATCTAAGACTATCTACTTTAAAGAAAATGAAGAAGAAGAATTTAATGTGTGGTTGGCTGGTTGGTTAAGTGCCATTGAGTCAGTTCCAACTCATCGTGACCCTGTATAGGGTTTCTGAGGAGCAGCTGGTGAGTTTGAATTGCCCACCTTGTGGTTCAAACTGATCATGTGGACATAGATATTGACTAAGCCTAATATATTCTTGGAGTTCTGGTGTGGCGCTGTGGGTTAATGCACTGGACTGCAAAGTTGGTTTAAACTACAAAGCTGGTGGTTCAAGCTCACCAGTCACTCCTTGGAAACCATCTATAGGGTCGCTATGGGTCAGAACTGACTTGATGGCACTTCACAACAACAATATATTCTTGGAGCCCCTGGGTAGTATAAACAGCTAAGTACTTGACTACTAACATAAAGGTTGGTGGTTCGAATCCACCGAGAAGAATCTTGGCAGACTCAGGGCATTTGTTGAAAGCCTTGTGGGAGCACAGTTCTCATCTGACATGTGGGGGTGCCGTGAGTTCCATGAGTTGGGGTCAACTCCATGTAGGTGGCTTGACCTTGTTGTTTTTCATTTTAATTACTCTGTTTTTGACTCATGGTGGTGGTGGTGTTTTCCGTTTTAATAAATTACTCTGGTTTTGACTCGTGTTGTTAGTATTGTTTTTTGTTTTAATTGAATTATTCTGTTTTTGACTCATGGTGTTATTGTTGTTTTCCATTTTAATTGAATTACTCTGTTTTGACTCCATTCTCAGATTCGATGCAGAGAGTACCACTGCCCACCTGGAGGCTTTGAAGCAGTTGGCATTGGCATTGCAGGAAAAGAAGGATGCTCTTGAAGAGCTGAAAGACCAAAAGCAAAAAATGATAGAGCACCTGAGTCTAGATGACAGAGAATTAGTCAAAGAGCAGACGGGGCACTTTGAGCAACGCTGGTTTCAGCTGGAGGACCTCGTGAAAAGGAAAATCCAGGTGTCCATCACCAATCTGGAGGAGTTGAGCGTTGTGCAGTCCAGGTTTAAGGAGCTGATGGAGTGGGCAGAAGAGCAACAACCCAGCATCGCTGAGGCCCTGAAGCAGAGCCCTCCTCCTGAGGTGGCACGGAAGCTCCTCACGGACCACCTTGCCATTTGCAGTGAGCTGGAAGCCAAGCAGTTGCTCCTCAAGTCGCTTATGAAGGATGCTGACCGGGTGATGGTGGATCTCGGCCTGAATGAGCGACAGTTGATCCAGAAGGCACTCTCGGATGCCCAGAGGCACGTCAGCTGCCTCAGTGAACTCGTGGGCCAGAGAAGAAAGTACTTGAACAAGGCCTTGTCTGAGAAAACCCAGTTTCTCATGGCCGTATTCCAGGCCAACAGCCAAATTCAACAGCATGAGCGCAAGATAATGTTCCGCGAACACATCTGCCTCTTACCAGAGGAGGTGAGTAAACAAGTTAAAACATGTAAGAGCGCCCAAGCCAGCCTCAAGACTTACCAGAATGAAGTCACTGGGCTTTGGGCCCAGGGCCGTGACTTAATGAAAGGAGCCACCGAGCAGGAGAAGAGTGAAGTACTGGGTAAACTCCAGGACCTGCAGAGCGTCTACGACACAGTTTTACAAAAGTGCAGTCATCGACTACAAGAGCTAGAGAAAAATTTAGTGTCTCGGAAGCATTTTAAGGAAGATTTTGATAAAGCCTGTCACTGGCTAAAGCAAGCAGATATTGTTACATTTCCTGAGATCAGCCTCATGAATGAGAGTGCCCAGCTTCATGCACAACTGGGCAAATACCAACACATTCTCGAAGAATCTCCAGAATATGAAAATCTTCTCCTTACGGTGCAGAGAACGGGGCAGGCCATGTTACCGTCACTGAATGAAGTTGATCATTCATATCTCAGTGAAAAACTAAATTCTTTGCCCCAGCAATTTAATGTTGTTGTGGCCTTGGCAAAAGACAAGTTCTATAAGGTCCAGGAAGCAATTCTTGCTCGGAAAGAATACGCTTCTCTGATCGAGTTGACAGCCCAGACTCTGAGTGACCTCGAAGACCAGTTCTTAAAGATGAGCAAAGTTCCCACTGACCTGGTTGTTGAAGAGGCCCTGTCTCTGCAGAATGGTTGTAGAACCCTTCTGGGGCAGGTGGTGAGCCTCGGGGAAGCAGTAGATGAACTGAGTCAGAAGAAAGAAAGTTTCCAGAGCACAGGCCAGCCATGGCAGGCAAACGAGATGCTGCACCTTGTCACCTTGTATCACAGGTTGAAACGGCAGGCAGAACAACGGGTTAGCTTATTAGAGGATACCACCAGTGCTTACCAAGAGCATGAGAAGATGTGCCAACAGCTAGAGGAACAACTTGAGACTGTGAAAAAGGAACAAGCCAGAATGAATGAGGAGACACTTCCTGCAGACGAGAAGCTCAAAATGTACCATTCCCTGGCAGGAAGTCTTCAGGACTCAGGAAATCTCCTGAAGCGAGTCGCTGTGCACCTGGAAGATATGGCTCCTCACCTCGATCCTGTGGCTTATGAGAAAGTCAGACATCAGCTCCAGTCTTGGCAAGAGGAGCTCAACGTGTTGACTTCTGCCATTGGTGAGACTGTTGCTGAGTGTGAGAGCCGAATGGTTCAGAGTATAGACTTCCAGACAGAGATGAGTCGCTCCCTGGATTGGCTGAGAAGGGTGAAGGCGGAGCTAAGTGGACCACTGTGCCTGAACCTGAATCTACAGGACATCCAGGAGGAGATCAGAAAGATCCAGATCCATCAGGAGGAGGTCCAGTCCAGCTTGCGGATAATGAATGCCCTGAGCCACAAGGAGAAGGATAAATGCACGAAAGCCAAAGAACTTATTTCCTCTGAGTTGGAACACACTCTTGCCGAGCTCTCGGAGCTTGATGGAGAAATCCAGGAAGCTTTACGCACCAAGCAGGTTGGTGAAATGGAGCTTTTCTTGGCTTATTTGTGAGTGGCTACAAGAAATTGTGCAGTCTGGGAGGAGGTGGGTTGGTTAGAATTGCTTCTTTAAGTATTTCTCTGTGGGGGCTTCAGAGAATCATCTTCCACAGCGACCTGAGAGGTTGTTTCCAGTGCTTAGGCTCATGATATTGATTTCATGTTTTCTCCATGTTGACTTTACTTTACTTAAAATGAGCTTGACAGTGTCAAATCAGTTCTGACTCCTAGTGACCCTATAGGTCAGTGCAGAAGTGCCTGCAGGGTTTCTAAGTCTGTAAATCTTTACAGAAGCCGACTCTCATATCTTTCCTCCACACTGGATGATTCTTTTCTATCACTCTATTGTAAGTAGTAAACCTTTTTATTTGAACATGTGGGGTAAAATCGTAATAAGCTTCATTTATTATATTCTAACATCTTAACCAAGAGTTGCACTTGTTTTTTAAGCTTTTCATGTGGAATCAAGGTTATTATTAAAAGACAAAGCAACAAACAAAACCCCCCACTATCTCACTGTAGTTATGGGACACATAGAGATAGGGTATCTAGCCTAGAAGAAAGCGTCAGAATGGAAGGTATCTGGAATTTTCCTTCTAGAAAAACGGCTGTCTTGGAAGCTGGCTTTTTGTTGACTTGGTAGTTTTGGAACTAGAATCTTAGGTATATTAAGGTGTCTCTCCTTCTGCTGTTTTGCACTTGGCAGTTTCATGTCTTATCCCAAATAGCTGAAGGTTGGGGCTCCTAGACAATGTCTAACCTTTACTGTGGATCAGTTTCTCTGTCAATCTCAGTCTTTCCTTATTAAGTGCTAATCATTGATGCACTTTCATGAAAATTTCTATGGGTCTCTGCTTACCTCAGTGACTTGTCATGTATGCTCATTGCTGGCTAGCTAGAGTGTTTCCTTTGCTTCTAGATCTGAAAGTGCACCATGCAGAGGTTTGCCTCCCAACTTTACACTTTTCTCTCTATTTTAGTCTCTCTCTGTAAATTTCATGAGTTACTTTTAATTTTCATAGGCTATTTGTTCTAGTGAGTACCAGTTTGAAAACTTGGCATTACTAATGTTCTAATCCACAGAAGCAGCCATCCACTTTTGGAAATATTCAGTCTTCTACACAGTAACCACAATACATTAAAATAGCATTAGAAACAATTAGGCAGGTTTGCATGGGCTAAGCGGGACAGAGGTAAATAATGATGCATGCACAACCTTGGAAAAACAGGGCTCTGGAAAAACACAGGGATTAAGACATGGTTGGCATGGGCAAAAGGGTGGAAATAATGTTAAGATGCTTGGCTGTCTTTTGACTCTTGGTTTCCCTGGCATACCATTATAAAATAGACACTTGAGGGGAAGAGAAAGGAATAGCCAGAAATATCACATAGAAAGCTTGTAAGCCTATAACTGATTGGAATACCTAAAATGGAGCTACAATGTGCCCAGTAAGGGAGGCTTCCTGTGGAGCCTCTGCATTACATAAGACCATAGGTGGAATCCTAAGCCTCACCAGAATCTTCTGAGGTGGGAAATTTCCACTTAAAAGGACAAGCAGACCAACCTGAAGCAACAAGATCAGAAGATACTTCTTGAAAGAAAGACTGACAGGAAAAATACAAAACAATAACAGCAGTCCAACTGATTTTATAAGAACAAGCAAGTTGCTTGCCCAGGAGACATCAAGGTAAGTGGTAGGATCCCCTCAGGGCAAACCCCCTTCCAAGACTAAGACCCAATGGGGATACATGAGCAGACA